TGAGAACGAGTATAATGTTAGTGTAAACTGGCGACCTCAGATATGAGGATAATATAAGGTTCTTTGAAAACGCCAGTTTGTAATACTTAGATGTAATTTTAGGGTAAACTGGTGACCTAAGCAACGAGATAATATAAGGTTTTCTGAGAACACCAGATTATAACATTTAGAAATAATGTTAGGGTAAATTTGTTTTTTCCAGTTTAAGTGTTATACGATATCTTTGAAATTAGTATACGTCAACGTAGTACACATCATTTGAAAAAGCAACTGAATCAAGATACATTAAATAGAATAAGAATTGTAGCTTCTTTGTCGTTAACTTGAAAATCAGACCCAAAACTGAAGTTAATATCGGGTTCATACGCAAAAAGAATCAAAACTTAAACTTTTAGTTACATGCAAAAACGGAAACTCAGCACACTAGAGATGAAATGAACCGAGTTACGCCCTACTCTTCTTCACCTGGGCTAATGAAGAGGGCAACACCAGGCAGTGTTTTTTCTATATCAGATCCTTCGGCTCAACTAACCAGTGACCTATGTATACATAGGGCGTGAATACAAGGTTAATATCGTATCAAGTCTTTACCTGGTTTAAAACCATGTATTTAAAAAAAAAATTCGAATTCAAAATCGAATTTAAGTTGTATTTTCTACCGCGACGACGTACATATTAAATGAGATTTAAAAAACAATTCGGTTTTTTTTTCTGAACGAGAATAACACGAATACACCAAAATAGATTACCAGTAAGGTGGGATTTATGAGTTATATTACTCTATATTATGCAATAAACAGATGAAGTCGGTATTGCAAACATTTTACTTATGAATAATTGGGCGTATTCTTAGGTACCTGTATGACATTTCAAATATATTTCGCAATTATAAAAAAGTACACACAGGTGAGATATATCAGATGATAGTGACGCATAAATGACTGATCCTTAGTATTTACCCTTTGTTCAGACTATAATGTTGATAAGTATAAATGGGTCGATGTCGCATTTATCCCTGTTATATTTAGCATTTTAAGTCACATCATCTAATGGTAGTAGCTCATTTCACATATTAAAATGCCGAGGTATGACACAGTTTTAGACTCAATGGGGGTGTAAATAATAGTTTTTGAACCTATTTCAATTTAGATGAGTATTACTATTTGCCCACTTCTTACAGGTCCTTACTTGGTTTGCATAAATTATGAAAATTACTGTTGTAGTATTTACAACTTTAAATTAAACAATTCTAATTTTAGCGCAAATTATTGTGTCGGGTTGTGATTTAGACTCTTTATTTTACTTGGGTTAGAATTAAAAGATGTACAAGCTCCCATAATAAAACTAATATGAACACAAAACTATAAATGTGAAACAAAAAAGAAGACCATCACACCAATGCCCCAACCCACACACAGAAATCCCATCAAGCACAAAACAAACAACGATAGAAAACAGAGCAACAAGCATACATAAAGCAACAGCCGACACCCAAAACTCGAAAAGAAACAAAAAAAAATGCCAGGTACCGGACAATGAAGCACCCAATTCAATCAACAAGGAACCAGAGCAAAGAACACAATAAGTGCACCATGCTCCTACCGCCCATCATCCAGCATGCCATCTCCCATCCACCGCCAAAGCTGAACATTCATCACCAATCTCAGCGAGCTAGATGCCAGCCTACACCTTGAACATGTCATGTCAAATTTTGGGACAATTGTCATTTAATTCACACGAATTAGTAAAAGTTATTGATCAAGGATCCTAAAAGGGGTAATTGAAATAAAAAGTTTGAAAATCCTTGCTATAAAGGTACGCTGTAAGATGTTCATACAATGCGTGATTATCCATACAGTAGAATAGGTTAAGCACCAGTACCTCTTGTATTCACTCCTTCTTTTTTCTTCTGTTTCGATTATACCGTACCGTACAAGTAAATTTGGGGCACCACTGAAACAGTTTATATTGAATTGATTATATCCTGATTTGTACCTTTAAATCATACGATGAATCGTGAAAACTCACCAATACATTGTTAATTGCATTTTACGAGGGGTCAATTTTAAATCGCATTGTCAACAAATAAAATCAATACATATCATCAGAATGGGATTAAAGTATAGTTACAATAGGGGCAAACATTCTGAAACCTTTCATTTCAATATTATCAATTGTCAACTTCTCCGAGATTTAGCCAATCTATATCATCATAATTTTTATTCAAATCGGATGAAATATCGAACTTGTCTAGTATTACCTTGCCAGAAAATATTGACTGACAGAAACGGCGACAAAACACGTACAATACATATTTTCATATAGAGAGGAAAGTGGAGTAATCTTTATAATTAAATCCAATATAAGGGGGATAACTATACTATAATATACGACCTGAAAGCTTATATCAGACCTGACAACAATAATATCTACACGAATTGACTGCACATAAACTACTGCAACATCATTTCTCTGGTAACACTGAACAAATTGGGGTCGCGAGTTCTAATCTCGATCGCCGTGTTAAAATCTGCCACCTCCTGCACTAAAGGTGGTGCTTCAACATTATATGTACTTGTATACATGTTGTTTTATACGTAATTTAAAAAAGTGTGCTCTACAACATATCACGGTATTGAATGGCAGCCATTGTTTGCCGGACCCATGACAATATCGTCACGTGATCGCGTGATTATGGTACTTCAAATGTCATAGGCTGGTCGTTCGTTACAAATATTTGTAAATAAAGACATTAAAAACAAAACATCCATAAGATCCATGGATTCAAAAGAATAATAAAAAAGTACCTTTGGCTTACCGAAAGTCACAATATAGCATAAGGCAGGATTGTCCCCAAAAGGCTAAAATTTATGGACTATATTCATGTCGCAATATTACTATCTCTTGCGTAAGTAAAGAATCTCGCTGAAGAAGACACAACGACCGATTCAGCTTTACGGTAACTGCCGAATGCCCGAGATTGTGCCTGATATCAAATCGCTTTTGAAATTTAGGGGCAGCGGTTTTCACTCTAAATGCGATTTTGGAATATATACAAAAAGAGATTGATATATTAGGAACATTTATGTATATTTTATCATTGTCGTTATGAAGTGTTTAAGGCTAAGGGGAAAAATGTAAATCGACTTTCAAAGAGTAACCGAATGATGTTCAGAAAAGTTTACTTCACAATATGAAATAATATTGAATTTAATATATATGACCTACAGGTCACTGAGAGACGGGAATCAGTCATAATTCCTCTTTTGAAAAAGTGGCAAATACTTCCCTTTACATCATTTGTTATTAGTTTTCCAATCGAAATGTTTTAAGAGTGGAATTTTTACCTCCAGTCGTTATATTGAATCACTAAATGTAACAATCGAACATCATCTTTCGGAGCGGATAGAACCTAGTACAAAATAGCCATCATGATGAATATTATGTTTTTATTACTTGAGGCATTTAAGTATAGAATCCATTGTGTATGTGTATATAAGATATATAAGGAGTTTTTTTTATTCAGGTTTCAGACATTTCAAGTATATTTTGATGTGATGCAGTACAAATTTAAAATAGTTGATAATTTTTATTGAATTTTATTGATCACCTATTCTGAAACCTCTCTCATAACAAATTGATTACAAATTCACAAGTTTTACAACTATTCAATTCATCAATTGATATACTTAAAAAGTGTACGAACAATTTTTATTCTGAAGACGAAAAAAAAATCAAATATTTTTCAGAAATATATTTGATTGAAGCATTAAACGTGCAATACTCGATGTTTTAGTTTTACGTAGATGTACTTTAATATCCTTGATCTTCTATACAGAATATTATTATTTTACGGCACATTATTGTCAGTAATGATGTAATTGCATATGCATGTTTATGCAAATCAGACAGCTCGTTACATAATACAGTAAATAAAATTCACACATCTGACATATATTATTGAAGACTTATGTATATCATCGAAATTCAAAGGCATATAAATCACTATATAAAAACACATGAATAAAATTAACTTTATACAAACGTCATGTAATATATGACTGTCACTGGTAGTAAGATATGGTAGCTCTATAAGCCAAGTAGACAATAATCCCATACCATGGCATACAGACATGTGGAATACTCTTTTGTCTTTAATTTTTAATTTCGATATTATTGCTTAGCTTATTTTTTATTGGGAATTCTTGGTTAAACGCAATAATATTTATCATATGTAACCACGATGTCCGTATTTTTATTGGAATTCTTGGTTAAAACCAATAATATTTGTCATACGGATACACCATGTCCAAAATTATATTGGGAATCCTTGGTTAAACCCAATAATATTTATCATATGGAACTACCACGTCCGTATTTCTTATAAGTTTTTGGTGTTGTTTGGATTCGGAACAAAGGTTACAATACAGTAAATCACCCTTATTTCTGGGTGGAAACGTACCACCTTTCAGCTGCTTGTTGTTAGTGTTGTTGCAGTTAACACAGTATGGTTTAACACGTCGTGGGTAGCGCTTGTCTGTATGATATTGGTTCACGCCATTTACGAATACTCTTCTTCCGTACCTATCTACGTAAAATGGCCGACGTTGATCACGAAAATGTTTCCAGTTGTCAGCTGGAGACGATGTAAAAATGTTAGGTAGAACAAATTTAGCAGCTTTAAATCGTGGCAAATCCACATTCCGTTCACTTGGTTTCAGCGCACTTTTCGGAGCATCCTTTTTAACATTATGTCTATTTTTAGTGTGTCGCTTTCTTCTAATGACCATAATCTCTTTCAGGTCATTGCGCTTTCTACAATATCTCCATATCAGAGACGCAACAATACCAATTAATGTCACGAATAATCCAACCGAACCAACAATGATTGTATAAAATAAGCTTAAGTTACATTCAAAATCCCCAACTTCAAAATCGAAAATTGAAATCCCGAGGTGCCTGGGTGGGTCAGAACACAAGTGACCTGATATGACCGAAATATTAAATTTACTTATCATGATTTCTTCAAGCCACAAGCGAAATTCCAATAAGTCACAGTCACATACAAACGGATTGTCAGATACGTTCAAAAATTGTAAATGGTTAAGTTCATTGAAAAATGTCGATGAAAACGTAGTAAAATTGTTACCATTTAAGAATATTTTTTCTAGCTTCTGAGCGGGATTGAAAACTGTCGAATTTATTTCTGTCATATGGTTATAGGATAACCGAAACTCAAGTAGAGATTTCAGCGGACGAAGAATGTTGACAAGATCACGAGAGTTAATATTCAGAGAGTTTTGAGCTAGATTTAGTCTTTGTAATTGTACCAGATACTTGAAAGCATTTGTTTGTATATATCGTAGTTTGTTTTTAGACACGTCTAAGAATTTCAAGTCACTCATTCCATAGAACGTTTCATCGGTTATGTCTGAAATTTCGTTGGCGCGTAAGATGATTGAGCTTGTATTCGACCAGCTTCCAAATTTCACAGTGGTCAACAAATTGTGAGACAAATCAACAACACAAGGAGCGGATGCCAAAAAACTTCGATGATCAATTTCAGTTATTTTGTTATTACTGAAATTTGCTATCTGAAATTTGTTTGTATGGGTGAACAGAAATGGTCCAAGATGAGTAATTTGGTTTTGAGAAATGTCAAATCTTCGGAGATTAGGAACATTGTGAATCGAATATACATTAGAAATTTTATTATCGGCGAAAATGAGATCTCTCAAGTTTGAAGTGTTACTGGGCAAAACAATACTGTCTAACTCGTTGCGGCTTAAATTAAGATACACCAAGGATTTAAGTGGAGATACATGAACCTGGGTGGAATCTTGAAGTTTGTTGTGAGAAATATCTAAATAAGTCACTCTAAATATCTCAGTTGTTATCTGTAATGGGAATGATTGCAGGTTATTGTAAGAGATATCCAGTGATATCAAGTTCCCTAAGTCTTTGATCCCATTAATATCAGATTCCAATCTATTCCTGCTCACATTGAGATTCATCAGACTCCGCATGTTGCCAAGTGATGAGCTGGGTATTGTACTGATAGTATTATTAGACAAATTTAAATATTCTAGTGAAAGCCTGCTTACATTTCCTAAAATACTTTCAATACTGTTTATATTGAGTCCCGATAGGTCCACACGTTTCAGATGTGTATCCTGCATTTCCTTCAAAATAAATTCGATATTGTCCACGGACAAATTATTATCTGACAAGTCAAGATCGTGAAGACCGTTAAAAGTGGATAATGTACCATTTTCAATTTTGTGTATCCCACATCTCCGCAAGTTCAACGATCTCTTTGTTCTTTGAATCCAGTACCTGGTAAACTCGAAGGCGTTTTGTGAAATATTCCAGAAGTTGTTGAGTGAAAAATCAAGCTTTTTCAGCTTCCGGGATACTTGCCATCTAGGTCCAAGGTGAAGAATTTTAAGCTTGTTGTTGCGGATACTGAAGACCTCTAAATTTTCAAGGCTTCTAAATATAGCATCAGGCATGACACGGAACAAGTTGTCACTGATATCTAAAACTTTTAGATTGGTATTGTCACAGAAAATATTGCTGGGCAAACCGCGGAGGTAATTGTTAGATAACTTCAAATATTCCAGTCTAACAAACCCACGGAAACTGCTGTGAGAAATATTCACGAGTCCATTGTGTGATAGGTCAAGATATTTCAGTGATGGAAGGTACAGGTACCTGGGACCCAGTGCAGGTCCTAAATTGGCTCCAGAAAGGTCTAAATGTTCAACTCTGGAAGGTAGTACTGGAAATTCAAATAATGGTTCATGACACAAGACGACTGTCACATTCTTCTCACATCGACATCTTACAGGACAGTCATCTTGACCATGACCAGATTGGATGATGAGCAGAAAAAGGAGAGCAATCTTCATTCCGTACTTTTTAATCATACTTGCTTGCTGTTCGATTATGTTGATGCAATCAATTGATTTTCTTGTATTGTCCTAAAAAATCCATAATAACGATTAAAGTATTAAAGGAATGCATAAAATTCAAATTCTCAAGCCCGACCCATGAGAGTAGATATTCATCAGTGGACTTACTGGTGTCCGGACAGATTACTTTTATAAGTGATAAATCAATAAAACTAAGTGAATAATGAAAAACGCTTAACAACCTTTCAATTTATTGATAACTACTAAGTTTTATTGATTTATCATATTACAGAGGGATTCTGTTGTTTAGTAATGACATCATGTCGCTGTTTGATGTTTCACATTTATGTTTTATAATTATAGTCGATAATAATTATTGTTCAATACGAAGTACCCCTCAAATGACTTATTTGCATACAAAGTTGATTAACAGTTTAAATAATCTATAAAATATTAAGTTATTGTTCAATTTTGGTCAAACACAATCGTATAATTTATGCGATTAAGGATGCTAAGGATCGACCAATATTTTCAAGTTGCTGGAAGTCAAGATAAAAATTTTGGCTAACTATTTGTAAGTGATATTACTAAAGCAGGAACATCAACAATGAAATGGTCTTCAGTATTAGAGACATGTTTCACAAAAATACATTTTAAAATCAATGCAATATATTAGGAGATATGAAGATTATTTCATGTGTTCAAGTATTTTTGTTATAATTTTGATAACTAATTTGTAGACAAATAGTATCTCGAAATTTGGATGACATTAAAGAATAAACCGATAATATCCATCAAACATGATAAAAATAAGAAATTGCACCTACTATTCAGAAACGTACCTCCTACGAAAGCATAGACACCTTTAAGTGAGAATTGAAAATACCAACTAGAACATTTCTTAATTGGAATGTATCTTTATCGAGTATCTTAATTAATTAAAGTGATTATTCAAATTACAGTTATCTTGTTTAAGTATATAGTATTTCTTACACCCCTTGTCATATCTTTAGTTTTAGGACTGTTACAGTTACACCCCTTAATAATATGATATGAAAATAATAGAGGTTATTGGCCAATGTCGATAAAGATTTAAAATGCATATATAAATGTATAAATTCTCCAGAAAATGATCGTGTACTATCAACATTAGGAGATGTCACAACGATTCAAAAAATTCTTTGAGTTACCAACATCAAGATCTATTTCGAACAAATGGAGTCGAAATTATCTGATGCCTCAGTTGTAACTGGACGGGCTCCTTCATTAACGTTTCAAAAACGTGTTCCAACATGTCCAGACATTTTGCTTATCCAACAATGTAGGTATTTGTGTGGATGATTTGTTTGCGTTCTTGACGGTTAATTACAACATTTCCATCTAGATCGAATTACTCAACATATTATTTTTTGTTTTTGACGACAAAGGACAAAGTGTAGAAAGTTACCATTAATGGTGAATTGATATAAAACGCTCAAAAAACAGTAAAATTGTCTGTGAACAGAATACAATCGGTCATGGTGACCGCGCCTAACGTAATTGAATGAAATATATTTCATGATTGAGTAGCATATGTAATGGATAAAAAGTTATTCTCTCCGGATCGGTGCTGTGAGCGGAAATCAATACATGACAAAATTATAGACGTGGTATGATGTAATCTACTAGTTAAAGGTAACGAGAACGTTAAAAACAAGTTACAAGAAAGTTAAGACGAGCGTCGGCAAACGTTGGCGAACGTCGACGGACGTCGGCGAACGCTGAGGGTGAAAAATATTTTTGGGTGTGCACAAAAATTCACGACGTTCTATCAAAACGTTACTTACGCCTTAGAGGAGCGTTACACGAATGTTGGTGGGCATTACTCGAACGTTACTCAAGTGTCCAGTGCGTGGCTAGCGCTTGGGTAATGCTTGCGTAACGCCTGTTTAACGTCCGTCGAACGTCTGTCCAGCGTGTCGCCAACGTTTCTCAGCGTTCCAGCTGGTAAGCTCCTGCAGTTGGCATTGCACCAGGTCAAGATGTCCAAGGCAGAGTCCAAGAAGAAAAGGAAGAGGAGAGGGAGAAAGTGCTGGTTGAGACCCTGGATAGGAAGGCAACCCCAGTTTGGTGTTTATGACAAGCTGATGGCTGAACTCAGAGCTGAAGACCAAGCCTCCTTCCACAACTTCCTGCGCATGCCACCAGAGATGTTTGATGAGCTTAGATAGAAAGTTGGTCCCAGGATCACCGAGAAGGACACTCGCTTGAGACCGGCCCTCGACCCTTGTATAAAGCTGGCCCTGACTTTGCGACACCTTGCCTCTGGTGACAGATATTCCTCACAGAGGTTTGGCTGGAGAATACCTCACAACACACAGTCACCGGTGGTAAGAAAGGTTTGCCATGCCATACTGGACGAGTACCTGGATGAGATGCTGACCTGCCTCAGTACGCCAGAGAAGTGGAATCAAGTTGCTGACAGATTCTATCATAGGTGGAACCCATGTCCTGGGACCACATATGTCACCTGACGTGAGTGAACGTTGGCTAAGCGTTACCTAAGCGTTACAAGAACGTCATAACAACGTTGTCCTAGAAACTCAATTTGAAGAACGTTGACGTTCCCCGAAAACATCAAAACGTTCACAAAACATTTTTTATAGCCCATATGCGTTATTATTTGAAATTATAACAAATGTACCTTAGCATTACATTGATCAACCTGAGTAAATCATATCAACAAATCACTTACAGGTGTCCAATATGCACATTTCAGTAAAAAATAACATAATAGTGTATTCAAGAACTCTTGAATTGTGATCACGTTAACAACCACACCCCCTATATCTTCCGGTCTATAAACAAATAAACATTTCAGTATGTCTTTCAAAGTAGTCTGCCTTTCGAGTAAGCTTTATGTACCTTTTTGTGTCGGATTTTAAATATTATTATTTAATTCTGATATAGAAAAGAGATACAAAGTGCTATTAATTGTGGTAGGGAAGTTCTGTAAACATTTTTAACTTGATTGTATGTCAATATTCACTAGTGGAACATTCATGTAGATATTGATTCCTTATGCAATATGTATGATATCCTGTTATGCTGGATTCATATCACTTAAAGGGACAATCCGCTTTTTTGTAGGTCGAAAAACTTTTTTCCTCAAATTTGTGAAAACATAACACAAAAATTTAAAGAAATGTGCTCTTTAACGTATCTGAAAGTTTTAACTAAAAAAATCCGTTAATTTTTAAACGCCACAAACATTTAAAAACATAAGGTTTTCAAGTTCGTTATGATTTTTGAAAGCTGTTAGAAAACTACTGTACGGATTTGAGTAAAATAAACGCCTTATTGTAGAGAAATATGTCTCCTATGTATTCTAAAGGTTTCAACTAATAATATTGAACACCAAAACTATGTCAAACTGCTTAATCAACAATTAGTACTCTCCGTGTTTAATTAGCCCTTATTAAAACAAATTCAGTTTGATCAAGAAGATACATAGATATAAATAGTATACTTTAGAAATATTTTCAGGTATAATTTAGGACTTTTTTGCAAAAAAAGGAATACCCCTTTAATACCCATTTGAACGACTAAACGCTTTTTCCATGTCATCCCCTCTTACCTGCAACAATGACAGGGGGAAATTGGGTTGAAAAATGTTGATAAGACGTCATTGGATTTTGTGGAAATATGGTTATTCGTGTTTACCGGGGACATTTTATTTTGCACAAATTGCAAAGCTGCATAGATTTTGTCCTTGATTACATCTAACCATTCTGTAAGTCAATGAAGCCAGCCTTTTCTAGCCCTCAGTGTAACGGTGTACAATATCGCAATACAAAACTCTTCATAAAGTTTAGCTCATTTAATTCTAGCTTGGTGTGCTTATAAGTTATATTTAGTTATGAATGATTTTGTTTAGCGTAACGTAAATGCAGTATAAGAACATGATCTTTTAATGGCCTTATTGTATTGAAATAAAGTGTGGTATCTGTAAGATAGAACAGAATGAATGATAAGTAATCCATGATATGTAAATCTATTAATGGTAAAACAATGTTAATTTCGCAGACGATATTGACGTTAAGATAGCGTACAATAAAAATCTTTAAATTTATCAATTATATATATATGAACGCATTTTGGGTTTCCTGAAGTATGTGATATATTGGAAAATGTTGCCATATTCCGGATTTATCGATGTACATTGATTGAAAAACATCAAATTTCACTCACTCTTATCAAACAATAATTAATTTTTTTAAAAAGACCACATTCGACGCTTTTAAAGAAAGACAATGTAAAAAATGTCATGGTAATCCATTGCGCGGTTTGTGAGAAATCGGCCCTTTACATAAGCCTGGGAAAAGGTAATCAAAAAGAAACGTAATGACGTATTTTTTAAGGGATATTAATGTCGTCATCAATTGTTCACCAACTACCAAAATAGCCGTCATCAAATGAAATAAGCAAAATTTTTTCACAAAGTATTACACTAACAATGTTCTTAAAAAATTCTAGGGGAGATAGAGGTGGATAGAGGGCTTTTAATTTACCAATGTTAAAAATACTTAAGCTCCGATTGGGAAAAAATCGAAATTGGTGATGAATTAAAGGAAGAATGAGTTGATACATTTGGAACAGTTCAAGAAATACAGGTACTTATAACTGTCATTAGAAGAAATAAGCAAAGTTTATTCACAAAGTATTATACTAACAATGTTCTTTAAAACAATCAAGCTTTTAGTGAACCAGGAAATTCCTAGTGGAATGGAACCAAATGGTAATCGATTTTATAAAATTAAAATAAATAGAGTGTAAAACTAACAAAAGAAAATCATAATTACTATTTTCATTTCAAATGTTTTCCTTCAGTGAACCATCTAACTGGTGATTCCCATCCTGGTCTTAAAGGTAGTATTCATTGGAAGGTTCATAGCAAAGTACTTTTAGTATGGAATTTGTGAAGTGATCAAAACATGACAACGATCGTAATTTATTTAGAACGAATTGCTCCATTTATTGGACCTACGAATATATTTACACTTTTAATAATTAGAAAAAATTAATAAAAGAATCAAAATACGATTCATAATTCATTTTATGATTTTGATCATGTCGACACTTTTTAAAAACTACCAAAGTTGGTATATAATATTTAATATTTCTAATATACTATGATAATTCAAATCTAATGGCATAAGCGACAGGTAATACGCGAGATATTCCGTACAAGTTTTATACAAACGTAACACAGACGTCGGTCGAATATCTAAATGGTGGAAATAGAAGAAAAATTAGAAAACTTTATTTTGAATCCCTTTAAGATTTGCGAAATGTTGGTCAATAATGCCATTTCCATTTCCCTGTTATTATATTGTTTGTAGAGGACCATAAACGGCGAGAATTTTCAATTAATTCATTATCTACCTTTTATCCATTTATAACTTTCCCGTGAGAAATAAGCATTCGTTTTTAAGTACTTTCGGAATATTGGAGAGTGCAATAAAAATAAATAACAGTAAAGCATCAGACTATTATTTTAAATGTAGAAACATGGTTCCGAAGATACAGTTCCGTTCAAGTTGTTTCAATAACTATTCTATATTCTTTTTCTTATTGATTCAGTTATTGGATTGTGCATATTGTGAAGTATGAGCATAAAGTATATGTGAAATCAAAAGGATAACCTGTTTGATATTTGGTTATAAAACTATCACTATCATTTGCAAAAATGGTAATTTGTGATATTCTTTCAAAATTTGGTGAATGTTTCTTTTAAATGTGCCAAGGTTAGCAAATGTCCATCTGAAATCTAGTGATTATAAACAGATTTATTTTTAAGGTGAATTGATTGCATCTATGATGAAAATAATGGATTTACGATTGGTGCTGTGTACGATTTTAGCATTTAGTAATTACTGTACTGGTAAGTATAGGGATATCGGACCATGTCCGGTTGCTGTTAGTATAAAAAAAACACCCACATTGTTTCATGAAAATCAGTTTCAAGATTAATTCATTTTCAAAGCACTTTATTTCCAAATAACTTTGTAATATAACGCTGTAGCTCTTACATTTAACATTTACCCACATCGGATATTTATACGCACGAATGAATTCATTTTTTTCTAGATGAGTTATGAATGCTTAGTTCCACCTACCAAAAGGGAGAGAAAGTGACCACATGATTTCAGAAATGTTTCCATAATTTTGTCCACGTATTAAAAATGTTTTTCATTTAAGTTATAGCTTTAAGATAAGGGCATATATCTTGGTCAGTTTAGCTCACTCTATTCCAGGTCTAATTTGAAAATACAGATTTCCTTTGGGAAATAGAGACTTTAATTTTATCGAACTATCCGCCCATTATTTAAACCCATGATTTTGGGGTGATAAAAATATGATATTTGTATTTTGACATGTTGTAAATACGTTACCTTCCTAGAAAACTCACCTCATTGTGTGTCTGAAAATTGTTTTCTGCAAAACAATTTTATAAATTATGATGGTGATATAATGGTGAATGATAAGTTTTTTCGTTGTATTTTTGAGACTCTCGTTACTATGCTGAGGCTAAAATTATATTCTACATCAAAACAATCAGTAAAGATTTCATGTTTTATGTCTAAAAAACTTTTTGTTCTTGTTGCCTTGTAATAAAGTAGCAAACTATATTGAATCTTTCAGGGTTGGTATTTAAATATCACAATTCCACTGTATTAACTTACCATAATGCAAGAATCGAATGTCAAACGAATGGATATGAGTTACTGGTGCTTCATTCTGAAGCTGACATTACGGAAATCAACAACTTTTTGGACACCCTAGACAGGTTAATATGGCATATTTGCATAAGATATCAACTTCTAAAACTAACCTCTTCTGACAGTGCATATACACGATATTCAACACGTAGCTCCAGCAATTACTGTGACGATATGGGGCAAGAGATCCCCACTCTACTAATAACAGAAGCAGGCTTATAATCGAGAAAAACGTATTTATATGATAGCATTATAAGGAGATCAGAAGGATTTGAGTTGCCAAATTTCCATTAAGGTACATTTTAATTGAAATATTTGATAAAGAGTAAAAATAGTCGTCTAAATAATTGTGTGTTCCACTGTGCGCTGAATTTTTGAAAAGCTGAGTGGACTTCTGTATCTAAATTAAACGAAGATCCCGATTGGTCAAATATTATTTGAAATCAAAACGATTTAATGTTCAGTGTCTGGATAATAAAAACTACAATTCGGCATGAAGTTGAATTTCTATCATACAATGTTTAGGATTTTAAGTAACTTTTCATAGCAAAGTTTGAATATTTTTTTTGTAAAATAAAAAGGTTTGAATAAGACCAATATTAGATACTTTTTAAAAATTACTCATGTATTCTCATTATTACAGGTTTAAACCGCTCAAACACTTAAACAATTTAAACATCAAGAGTCTCCGAGATATTGTTTGTTTGACAATGTTAGTCTATTTCTGGATTTCAGGCCTCAACACATATGGATAGGATTAGATAAGTATCAAGGTAAATCAAATTTTACGTGGTTAACTGGTAATCTAGCTTCATTCAATAACTGGGAAGAAGGTGAACCAGATGGATGGTCCTATCAACATTGTGTTTGTATTCAAAAGACCAACTTACGCTGGAATTCCAGGAGGTGTGGTTACAAATTTAATTTTTTATGTGGACCTTTGAGCCAACCTATAAATTACGGTACGTTAATATGAGTGTTATATTGTATGATTTTAATCATTTTATGTAATGACAGTGCGAACTATATTGTCGTCGCTATTGATTTTCTCTAGTCCACCCATCCACAATTGCTTCTGAAAACAAGAGAGGCTTTTTTTTATTAAAAAATTTAACAACTTAGATATATTAGCAATTTTATAGCTGAAGTGATTTTTGGGGGCTATTTTTTATCATTCAAGTCAGACTGTGTATTAGTGTGTTTTTGTTATAGAGCACGCCTGTAGCGGGGTTAGATTCTGACAACCGACCAATTCCGTTGCTGCAATTTAATATCATATATTATTGCCCTTCAGGATATATTACTTGCCCATCAAGTCTGGCAACCGGCCTGTGATAAGGCCATCTTTCCATATATTTTGATAAAAATTTGTATACTTTGGAGAGTTGGCGATATCTTGAATGATTTCCAATAATTTTTTAAAAGTTATTTTCCTAGATAGGATTAAACAAAAGACTTGTGAAAACGATTTTAGCTACAACTTTGATCAGAATATTGTTTGTACTGTTTACAAACATTCAGTAAAGATGTCATTCAAGATAGATTTTTGTTAAAGATAATTATACATGCTGTTTAGTATTCGACCGTAACCAAATGAAAAAATAACTGAATATCGATTTAGAAGAACTTCTATATAACCCTTTTATTGACTTTGATGGCATCAATCAATTGCTTTCTATTTAACTTCAAATTTTCCAGCATGATATTTAATTTGGGGCGCATATAGATACGACACATGCAGGTAACGTAGGTACAAATTCTACGGCTGTATACATGTTGTAAAATGGGCATCAGGAAACTATTTTCAACCGCCATGGTTCTGCAAGTTTTCCATATGATCCTATCAAAAAAAAGCAATTTGTTCCGTATTCGTCAAGAATAAATCGATATGTTTTTAACTACAGAATTAATCACTCAACCCTAAATTCAATTTATTATCTTATTTATTTATTACTTAAGGGAACGTGTGAAGTTTGTTTGTCTGTAGACATGCGCCGCCTCGTGGAAATATTCCGCAACATTATTGGATCTCTGTAGTGGCTGTAGAACTTTTGATTGGGAGTATCCATCGCCAAAGTCCAGGGTGAAATAAAGTGCATTTTATGCAATTTTGAATTATTTCAATATCATTACATTACAATTCCACAAAATATTTACCCCGGAGCCGTCATTGTTGTGTCTTCATAGAACACCGGACAATGTCCCCCTCTCCGGAGTTTTTTTTTTCAATTTAGTGCTGTCATGACTCATGAAAATCAAGTATTGGTATAATTTCATCACATTTCATTATTATTTTTCAGATGAAGGTGGTCTTCTAGTTCAGGGTCCGTTTTATTTATTTTCTCAGAACACAAGTATTCAGTCAATTTCAACAATGAAACATTCCTATGAGAAAAAACTACGCTGTGCTCATTTATGTTCTATTCAAGTGGAGTGTACAGATTTCAGTTTATCGACAGTTGATTGTACTCTTCATTTAAATAGTGTCAATGGATCGGAATTTACGTTGATTGGAACTAACCTTTGGACAAGGCGACCAAGGTGAACGCGAATAGCTGCCAAAATATGTTTATGTTTTTGTTCCGCTTTAATACAAAAAACTGAACTGGTCAATTTGTGAAGGATATTCCAGATATCTTTTGTTAATTTTAAACTCATTTTATAGACAGTCTTTCATTGTGTTGCAATTTGTTAGTCTAATATATTCAAGCATAAACTTTGTTTTCACCACTTTATCGGGAGTTGTATGAAATTACAAGGCTACTGTATTTTAAACAAATATTCCAGAAACCTTTGCATCTACTTGATAAAACTTTTATTACTGAACAAGGCAGGTCATTGGTAAAATGATTGACAGACTTTATAGATGTGTTGAGTACGACGATTTCCTAATATTATCGAGGAGCATTAATTAGGGTTACCTGCAGAATAAAAGATGAAGTGAAGAATTGAAGTACGTACGTGGAGTAGTCATAAGATGGTTTGTCAGAATGTCTCAATGTTAATCATGGCCAAGGAGAGAAGAATAGTCTATATGCTAGATAACTCCCTGCTGCTGGGGGTCAACACCATCCTACACAAGTTGTGGTTTAGACCAAAACATTTGACAGACTGCCATTCAAACACTATTAGGGTGTAACGTTGAAATTTGAACTGAAGGAACAAACCCGTCTGAAGTTTCTATGTGGCAAATTTCAAGTTCGTACCTTGGAACCTCTGCCTGCTACAGCTTTTTTAGTCTTAGGCTTTTCCGTAAACTAAAATATGAGCGATCTTCCTCTTGTAAATAAGGGTGAAACTTCAAAGTCGACTTTCGCAAAAGTTTGTAAAAAATAGAAATTCTATGTTCAATATATTGTCAAAATTGACCGAGATATTGCCATTTCAAGTTTTCTTAGGGGGTCACTTCCAAACTATACGGTTCAAAAAACATGTTAAGGTTAAGACCAAAACTATCATAGATGTAATGTTGCAATTTGGACTAAAGGGACACAAACGATGGAAATTGAAAGTCCTTTCTTGGAAACTCTGCCTGCTACTGCACGTTTAGTCCCAGACCTTTCCCTAAACTAAAATATGAGCGATTTTCCTCTTGAAAATAAAGGTGATAAGGCGATTTTCTCAAAAGTTTGAAAAAAGTCCGATTATCTGTTTGGAACTGAAATAGACTCAAGACATGATAAACTTTCAAAACTTTGACAGGCTACAATTAAAAAGCTATCAGAGATGTAATGATGCCATTCGGACTGAAGGAGCACGCCAGTCTGAAGTGGCTGTGTTCTAAATATTATTCCTCTTTCCTATTTCCTCCATCAAAGATGAGATGTGGGAAATCTCCATAAAATAGGGTTTAGTTTTTCTGACTCTACTCACGCCAATAACGTCAAAATATCCGAGACGGGAATAAAGGCAGATGTTTCGGAATAATTCCCAATCTGGTTTGAATTTAGTTATATTTTGTACAATATTATGACTTAGTAATAAACTATAGTCACATTGATCAGTTTTCACATTTGTGGTTTTTATTGGGCAATGTATTTTTCCTGCAAATGGTCAAAGGGGGATAATTTGAAATTCGTTTGGTCTGTAGTCTTGGTATGATATAATTATAACCAGCAGTGTTATTCGCAATCCATATGACAAGTTGAGTCATGCACAGAAAACAGACAATTGAATGTTAGAGCCATTGATATTTCGATTTTTATAGGTAGTTATTCTATATTTATCCTTAAATTATGTTTTACAGCTAAATGGGGGTTAACTAGAAAAAAATAAAAGATATTAAGTCAATTTAGACTAACAATAATCACTATGCAAACATTTCCTTGTTCCATTGACGATGTAAATTTTTGATAGGCAGTATTTTACTCATAAAATACATAATATACCCTTTCATCACTTATTGGTTCTTTAGGTTTAGATTTGTTCTTAGATGATTGGCGGATTGCTCGCATATTTGGAATGATAATTTTGTACATTTCTGTAAAACTCCAGCTAGATTTTCATATTTAAAAAAGATTTTATATTTATGATAAATCATTTATTACTAAAATTAAATATACATTACATTTAAAAGAAATTCTACCAGATAGCAGTGTGTTGTAAATAATTCTAAAATATATATTGTAGGGCATTAACACCTCATTAGGTTTATTTCTTAAACCATACAGTGGTTGTCCCAACTGACCCCTCCTGAAGCCCCACCTGAAGCTCCTCGGTTGGATTTTCAAAAACTTTTACATTGGTCGGCGTATCATTTATTTTTGTCGAATCGTTTCTTCTCGGAATCAGAGATACGGCATAGTCAAAGACATTTATTCACATCTGGGTAAGATTCAAAACATAATTATTTTTTTTTATTTTGAGGTAGTTTAGGTCAAAATAAACATTCAAGAGCTGTAATTTTATTTGTTCAGTTTTAATTGTTAATTAAGTTGAAAACTACTCCAGATATGAATGGGTATCTTTGAACATCTATGTAAGATATTATACCTCGCTAACTGTAGTATTTACTCACAAAGCTTAGATAAAGCCCGCATTATCGTCACATTTTTTTCAAAAGAGAAGTGATAGAAAAATCACCAAATGGATATCAGTAAATAAATGTCGGCGCAAAGTACATTAAAAAGCACACAATATTTGGCACAAATAAAAATACACAAAAGCTGGCCTCTTCTGTCACATTATTTCATGTTTAAAGGTCGGTCCCCAAAATTTCATTAAAATTTTTAGTATTCAGTTCCAAAACAACCACATACATTGTAAGATGGATGGTAACGTACTTCAAAATTTGAACGTAAATTCGGGAGCAAATCTTTAAGCATATCAGGCGAATGTCTTTCTAGTTGGCCTATAACTTCACTATTAAATGGCCAGCCCTGTGTCTAATCACAACCATTTCAGACTAACTTATCGAGGGCTACACAGGCATCTCCCGTTACGTTGAATCGAAACCCAGTTGAACGGACAGCGTGTATGTCGACAGGGGTTGACTGCGACTGGACGGCTGGTGGTTGTAGTTGTAGTTGTTGTGGTTGTTGTTGTAGGTGTTGGTGTTGTTGTTGTTGGTGCTGGTGCTGCAGTTGAAGGTATCTCATCAATCTGATTAAAAGGAGGAATGTCTCCTGGTCTGAGAACCTGAATATTGGTTTCAGGTTGATTTCCAGCTTCTGATTGGATGATACCATGACCCAGATCAATGGCGATGTTGGCCTCTTGTGCTTCCTCTGATATTACGCATCTGCAAATAAAAAGAGTTAGTATACTTTTAACGAATGGTTGGAATGAAAAACACATAATGGCTATAATAATGGAATTGAAATGAAGGAATATAGTCAATTATGTCAATACTAATGCAAACGTACACATAAAAAAATATAAAGCGTTAATATCACAGAATATTCTTCCAAATATTAAAACTTCAAAAATCCACGAATTCATTGATTAGTGGTTGGGATTTATTACAAACGATATCAACTAATGTTAGTCCTTACCTGCATCTATCCTCATCAAAAAAAGTGTTTCTTGGACAATTATATTGACGGGTATAGTCAGGACATCTACATTCGCAGTGATCAGAATCCCAGATTTGGGCCTGTGTACATTCTGTTCGGTAATTACAGACGCATATGCATTCTTCGGGTATAAATCTTTGATACGGTTCACAATCAAGTGGGTTCAGTTTACAGACGACCTTGCATGACAAATGTCTCTCAATATTAACAGCTAAAGGTCCAGCCCATTCTAAATAAAGAGAACCCTCTTCTATAACATCAGCTCGCAGAACCTGAAAACAAGTCGAGAACCCGTCAACCGGTGTGCCAAATAATCTCAAAATATAATCAAACTAATATAACAACAACAGTATAAATTGTTGAAAGAGAGATTATGTTTTTCCACATCATACAGAATATTAGATTTAAAGGAAGAAGGAAGTGGTAACAGAAAGGGTTTCTAGTTCATGGAATAGTTGTGATATTTGCATCGCATTCGAACAAATATACATGTTCAATTAGGCGGGATCAATGTCTATCAAAATTAATTTTATCTGATCGATCTTGATTGATTTAACATGATTGCAAATTTAGTCCCATGCACAAATTTTAAATCCTGTAACGCCATTTAGGTTCTTCTTATCAAACAAGTGGTTGCCTAGCAAGATACGCACACTTCCCTGATAAATGTTCAGTAAATCAAAGGTGGTATCAGTATCAGTATCAGTATCAAATCGTACCAAAAATCTAATTTGTACAAGATATTGTCGATTTAATCAAACACATAAAATTTCATAAAATTTGGACATAAACTGCTAGCAAATTCTAATGCAAGTCAATAATAGGGCATTAACTCAAATTCCATTCATTGAAAAATCGTCAAATTCAAACTTGACCAAGATCTCATGAATATAAATGATCACACCAAATTTCATTAAAATCAGATATAAGACTCTATTGTGTTCACGAGCCAATTGTGGGCGGACGGACGGACAGGGGTGACGAAAATATACGATCACATTAAAATGTGGGCGTATAAAAAATATGCCAATAGAGGCGTATTCTACACATTGACGAAGAACTCACGTGATATTGTGCCATCTCTTTTTCATCAGGTACACAAACCAACTTTTCAGATGGACAACATCCGCCACATCTCTCAATCATTGTACATTCCGGCCAGTAGACAAACCCAGCTGGATCGTTAACAGCACGTGGTATAGCGACAGACATTGGTCTTGGGGAACATTCATCAGGAAATGCCAATCTTGCTCCACCACTGATGTAAGCCTTCTCTCCATTTGTTCCGTTGTCTGCTGACTCAAATGGATAAACTGAAAGTAAAATGGAATGTGATAAGTTTGTTTATCCTGCAAAGGAAGATCCTTTAATTTGTTTAGACAAACATCGACATAACTGGCCGAACTGAGCCCACCTACTTCCCTGTCATAAATGTCTTATATTTATACATTCTATAATAGCTCTAAAAAGGGTTGGTAGTTAGGTCAAACATCCATCCACAGTAACAGGGCAAGGAATTGCATGTACCATATTTTTTAAGCAAGACATCATATTTGTGTGTATATGTTATGAGTATATGGAAAGGAGTGCTTTTTATTACAAATATTAACAAAATAGGCCTACCATCATTTATTGTGAGTGGATGTCCATCTTTTTGTACGGAAGATAAAAACGCCTCCAAAGAGATTCCTCTAACTATCTGTCTTCTGAGCTGCTCTGAAAGTTCTTCAGGTACCCTCGGTGGTAAGTTGACAGCCACATCCACATTAGCTGTGGTCCTTTTTTGTCGGTTTGTGACTGACGAGTCGCATAGCTGAAAGAAAAACACAGTTGTTAAGAAATCGTGACTTTCTATGATATGCGACAGACAATACTTAGGTAAATTAAAGGATTGCACTGAATTGAGTCAATCGTAGCGAAAATATAGAACCTTATCCAATCTAGGCGATCTACGATCTAATACTATTAAATCTAAAACGGCTATTTGGGGATATAAAATATTTCAGCAAACATTTGCCTTTCCGGACCATTGAAGGTTCTTTGGGGTTATTGTTGTTGTTTCTTACAATGTTAAGTGCATTGGGGTCTTTTGTGTATCAGCTTGGTATGCTTTCTTATTTGATGAACAAAGGGAGGTAATAAATACTGACTTTGTAACTGTTAATAAACACGTTGTACTGAGAGACATTTAAAAGACCTCATTGACCATGGAATTTGAAAAATGCGGATGAAGTTATAAGAATTTTTTGTTATCATTTATTTTAGATGATTTATATTATATTAAAAATGATGGGGATACAGAGTGAAATGATAAAGTATATATATAGGTCCCTTATCATTTCAATTATATTATCGGAATATACACCCATCAAAATTGCTCTTAGTCCCATTAAAATCTGCTAAACATAAACAAGAAGAGATATTTTTAGATGCTTCCCATGGAGTTTCACAATCATCATTACCGAGAGTTTAATGTTGACGTGCCAAAATAACCTTTATACTCATTTTGAATGATTTACGCCTTCGGAGTAAACATCAATGTCTAACTTAAAGGGACAGATGTGCCATTCTTTTTGACCAATCATACCGTCTCAGAAACGAGATATTTGTAGCTAAGTAATCAGTAATAGTTTTCAGAGTCAACCGTCGAAATTTGAGCCTTCAGATCTATGTGTGTACAGAATATTTCGCGTTCGAATGTAAAAAAAAATTGGTGCACATGTCTTTTTAAGTTTCAAATGATTTTCTGTTAATGTGCCAATTATTGAATTATTCTAACTTGTATAGTTTAATTGTTTAAGGTTTGTCTCTACCATACCCAAATAAATTTTAAGGTGCCCTCACACCATAGCTATTACCAGTATTGTGGTAGATTAAAATCCTTTTCATCAACTCCCTGAAACAATTGCATTGGAATTTGAGTTGAATATATTTTTTCTTGTAATCTCTTCAGAAGTAATAATCTATGAATAATCTTTAGTGAAACATATTCTGTTTGAATTGAAATAGTTTTCATGTTGAAATCCATAGTCTCTACTTGTGACCTAGGCCAGTGCTTCTATAGGAGAGTATCCTCTATAACTTCGAAACTTATGACCGTATTCGCGACCATATGCAACTATAGTGTATGGTGTGAAAGTCCCTTTAAGATATTGAAAGAATAACAGTGCTAGTGTAACCTATGACCCGTACAATTGTTATAGTTTGTTTAGAAGTTGTTAATTACCAATTAGTAGAATTATTTATTTATCTCTAATTAATTATCTTATCTTTAGAATGGTCGAATAAACAAACGGCAAGATACTATTTATGTCTTTACTAATTGAAGAGTCGTAATGATCACCATACGAACACATGTCAGGATATACGAAGATAATATACCACTACTAATGTTGCTTACTGTTGCTTCTTAAGAATTCTTAATTCTATTATAGAAACGTAAGTGATTTACGGAATATGTCTGTAGCAAATATTAGTTAGAAGTGTTATACGATATATTATATTATAATGATATATTTACAAATGAATTATATATATATATATGTTGATACATCAACACAATATTACATTATGTAAACTAAACAATTTGTTAATACACCATATAAGGTAAATAAACTTTTAATTTACACAAGTATAATATACTTGCACAGATATGATATAAATATGTTTGTAAATTTTGTAAATGTTATATATCTGTACTGGTATATCATACTAGTTTATTTACAAATTTATCTATATAGTGTTGAAGTATTGACATGTATATATTGGTATATTGGTGACGTATTTAGAAATAGCTCATTAGCAATCAAATGGTAATTATCCAATATCATTTCTCATCCAATTTCCCAGTCAGAGAATCTCTTATCCTACCCAGGAACGCCCGATAGAAGGTTGGTGAAAATTTCCCATTACAGTAATTAACGAAATGATATTTGCTCCAAATCATCCACCAATAGGCAGACTAGTATCAATCGCTAGATTTGTTCTCAAGTGGGTTGGTGACTTTGCTACAAAAAATAAAGGTGCGAAGGTTCCATACCTCGAGAGGTGCGATGTCTGCCACAAAAAATTATACGTTTCTATCTTTTTAAACCACATGGCCACATTAAGTGTAAACAAATTTATTATATATTTCTTCAGTTCTGAATTCTGTGCCAAAAAAAGAAAACTATTGTCACTGCAAACGTTTTTGAAGATAGATAATGTTTATAAAGTGATCATGCAACGTGGTGTGCCAAAATTACAAAATCGTTTTAAAACGCAATATAATTTACCGAAATAGTCTTGACATTTCTGTTTCATTTTAACATATTCTATTTTTACAAAAGTTCCATCATTTTTATTGTATTTTATTGTTATTCTGTTTCCACGAAATTAGTCTCCGAATTATCGACTCGAAAGAGGAATATGTGAAAGTTTGAGATGCTAACACTTTTTAGGGGTAGGGGGCTTTAACTTTATTTACAATATATACTAAGACTTTTAAATTTTGCGATCGAATTTGACTGCTCCCATAGAATTATATATAGAATTACATCTAAATAGCTAATAGCCATGCGAACAATTTAACCTTTACCAAATAACTTATAATATTAAATTTAAATCAAAAATAGGAAACCCATGGAGAGAAAAATAATTTAGTCGATGCAGGATCCAAATTTACATATTTCCCATTGATCTGGTCTTGTGCAATGACCTGATGTCAGTCTCTGCAAACGCATAGCCAATATAGCTCAGTTTTGTATAAGGCCAACAATCAGGTACAATCTTAACTGTTTTTACTTAAATTTATACAAAATATGCCAGATCCAGAGTTTCAAATTTCTTTTTTTTTTGAGTTCATGGACAATTCTGTGAGTCTGTGACCCCTACTGGTAAAAACACTCCTGACCTCGGATCTTTATCATTGATTTCGCATAATTATAATTTTTCATGAGGATGCTTTTTTCAAATGAGCCACGTAGGCTATTTTCACTCAAAGTTAGTGTGAAAACAGCTCTCAATTTGAATACATAAATGATGGAGAAGAAGTCCGTCATAGAAACGTATTGACTTCATAGTAGACTTGTATATAGTTGAAACTACGAGATTTATTTGCCTATTATAGTTGGGTTTTCTCAATTTGCTAGATATGCAATGACATCATTTAACCGGATATTATTATTCGCATTGACCTCAAATCCTACTTTTAATACCTAAGAAACAGGATGAAAAACATGAACTACTTTATAAATTTACAAATTTCCTTTCGTTTGCCAATCAGAATCGTCTGTTCCAGGAATTGTATATATTTACCATTGTAATTGCAGTTTCTTTGGCACGAACACTCAAAACACCATCTATCTCTATCACGAGGAGAATTTAATGAGGTTTTTGGTCTGAATGAAGGTGGTCTTGACATGGTTTCAATAGCAACATAGGTGATTTTAATACGACTATAACTAGGTGGTGCCAATGTGGTTCCCATATTAAACTAAACTGTTACAATAGTATTATATAAACACATTCAATAAAGGAGAGTTTGCGTCTACTTTCTGAGCAAGGTCAGAGCTACATTGTTGCCATCATGATCGTATTGTGTCCTAAGCTTTGAAAGTTGGAGAATGTTGGGACATATTTGATATGATTGCTCTGGTAATTCCCTTCCAATAGTCTTTGCGATGGTTCAGTGAGTTAGACAAGTTTGCCTTGTAACTTGATGGTCCAAGGTTCGATGCCTGCAAAATTCGAGATAGAACCGTCGAGTAGTTCTACCCGATTTCTCTACTAGTGGTACAGGTCGGGGTGGTATGGAAAAGTCTGGTTGCTGGGATGGGACAATAAAACCGAGGCCTCATGAACTACAGACGTCAAAGATCTCTAAACAGATGGCAATCGAAGAAGAGACAACTGATCGTCTGTTGGGTAAAACGAGGATAAAATTAGTCTTGAATATCTTCACATAAACATTTAGGAAGTCTTTGATTGATCTTTGTTTTCACGTACATTGTCAAGTATACGTGGGTCCTAACCTAAATATGTGTATTGATTCTTTTTTTCACGAAGAAGAAAACTTTTTCCTTTATTGTGTTTAAACAATATTGTCTGGTGTTGTTTTCAACTTGTAACCTTGAGTTTACTTATTCATATGGTGTAGGTTTCTTGAAGAAACCCTGAGAGAGTAATTTGTTTTCTCTCTGAGGTTTAGAACCAATGAACGAACGAATGAATTTTAGTCCTCTTTTTCAGCTTTTAATTTGGTTAATGAAGCCTGGCTTAATTTATTGTATCATGGACATTGCGGGCAAAATATGCAAAAACCAACATGAAATATTAAACTAATCTGTTTCAAGATGGGGGAAAAAACGTCGACTCTCAAATCATGGCCATTTCTAGATGATAGATATATTTAAAAAGAGAAACTTTCTAAACGCTCAATTAAGTTTGTATTGTAAAAGGCAAAATTATATAATAAGAAAAGCTTCAGAAAACTTCTGGCAATAATATATTTTATTTTAGAAAGGACTATTCACTATTCTTCTTTTTCTAAATAATTTTATTGAGGACAAAAAATCAGAGCCCTTAGTCCTGTCTATTCCTCAGTTACTCGGTTACTCGCGTATAATAAGATATTGAAACCGGTTGCAGAAATAAAGTTTAATCATTAACTTATTATAGTGAATTGTTTCCGAGTGCGTAAAGAGGACATCCTAGTACAAAGGAAGTACACATATTTAAAATTATTTTCCCATTTAAATTGAATATTCGACTGGGTCAAATCCTAATAGCTTGATGTTGTAAGGATGAAGAGGAAATGAGACCATTTTCATTTTAGAGAATTATTGTCAATAGCATACTTTACTCGGTCAATTATTCTGAACTCAATTCAGGGGGTTTATCTGAGACTTGTACGGTCATAAACGTATTTAGACTGGCTGACTTTTTCTGGACCCTTTAAGGGTTTTCCAAGCCTTTGTCCATTTACGGATCATAGATCGATTGCATTACCCCTTTTTTCCTCTTTAAATCATTACCATTTCGGGATTTTCTCTGAAGTTTTTCCTGCAATCTTTTTATAATATGTCTGAGAATATAGTTTGACTGAATAGAACAACTTTATCATGATTGTTCAAGTTAATGTTAGAATACATTAAAAAAAAATGTAATTTACCATCCCAAGGTTGAAAACCCCTTAATCTAGACATTAATCCCCGCTTCAGTTAATATTTTTTCAATATATAGGATATTCATTAAGGATCTGGAAATTTTGAATGCTGTGCGGTAAGCCGCTCATCACAACTTACATTGCTACTTGAAAAAAATAAAACACCACAGTGTTCGTATCTGAAACTGGTAACCCTTTAGTTTTTATTTTAAATAAAGTATCAACCAGAGTTCTGTTATGTCTACTTTATCTGCAATGTCAAAATTAACAGTATTCTATTGTTCCCAGCCTTATCTCTCAATTTTATTCATATTCATTGTTGGGATCCAGCTACTTTGTGTCTTAATTTCATTTTTAAGCCAATTTAATGCAGATAAAAAAGAATAAACGAATTTTAAAGTTTGCCTCTTGGATTTTTTATTCTTTCATATTGTAATTTAGCCTATTCATTTATTTGCAAATTTTATTCGAGAACGAAAGATATATGATAATCTGAAGGTTTTAAATCAGATTCTATAAAATATTTTTACGTTAACTAATTATAAATTTTACTTTCAAGAAAGAAATCATTTATTTATTCGTAACAAATGTCGCTTACTAAAAAAGGTTTGAATATAAGTTTAGCTTACCTTTGAGAAAATTTGAATAAAATAAATAACAAATGCTATAGTTCTCCACATTCTGCAATAATAGTTATCTCGAACCTTTCCAAGTTTACAAAGTCAACTTAAATTTATCTTTGTCGATAAAAGCCAGTGCGACTAATATTTATACAGTAGGTGAGCAATGCCAAGTCGAGTACCGTTTTTGTTGGATTAGGCACTTAAATTTTTGATTATTAGGTCCTAAATGTCTGTTGAAAATTTTATTCCGTTTATACGTCATGACAATCGGGTCAACGGGCACCTGCGTGAATTCACGAGGTTTTGCGTAGGTTGTCGAGATTTTAGACCGGAAATCGGCCATCGGCGCTTTGTGCAAAATATAATTATTTTTAATTAAACTGTTTACTTTAAAGTGCAATAATTGAACATGGAATTGGTGTATAACGTAGATTTTAGAAGCATCCCACGTTCGAAAGATTGGAACATTGAAAAACAAAGCCGTTGTAGTTTATCCTGCAGAAATATTTTTGCTTTTAGCCGGCCAACTGTACAAAATGTCGAGAAGAGGTATGGTCACGTGACATTGTTTACATTCGATAATCATTGAAACCGACGTTTTCACACCAATTTTAATGACTTGTGGATCTACGTCAGATATTTTTCTTAGTGGCCGTAGCGTGGGAAATGTTACTCAATATTTCCGTACCAGTGATTCATGTGGTTTAATTTATCCCAACCACTTGACATTGTTATTTGATTGGACAAAAATAGTTTGAGCATGAGAATGAAGCTAACAATGCCTTATAAATCGATACCGATAACTGAATTGTAATTGGGATGGCCAAATTAAAGGTGGAGCAGAGGTCTTCGAATTCTGTAAATAATCCCAATGATCATTCAAAACATATAACTGCAATGATGAACCACGATTCGTTCCTTCTTCCTGCATTAGATAAAAATAATTGACACGGTTATTTATTAATTCAATTCAATAACAAATGACACAAAATCCTAGTGTATATAAGAAATTGTGTCATAATTTAATTTCTAAAGTTTAATTTTTTTTTTAAGTTTGTAATAAAATCATTTCTGACTTTTTAAAGTTTAAATATTTCCTGCTATTTTCTTTTCCCTTATCAAAAAAATGAATCTTAACTATTGTTGATCATGAGAATTTGTATTTTATATTAAACTTGAGATTTACAGATAAGGATCGTATGCTAATGCTTTAGCAAAGCAAAAAGATTTTAGAATATTTCAATAATTGGAAGAGAAATAGAATATCAACCTCAAAATAGTACCGGCAATGGCTATTTTGAGGCTTCCATGTAAATTCTCTCTTGTATCTTAATTTTACATTGAAAAGGGTTCATTCTAAATGGTCAAGATCGCCATAAATCCTGAAGATTTTGTTTGTTTCAGGAATCACTATTGGTATGAGATATGGTATGAAGTATGCGTTTATGATTTAGATAAACCATGGAATACCTATACTGTAATGACTGGCAGTATACCTATATCAAATATAGCCTGGGATGCTACTGGTTCCAAACTGCTCATTGCCAACACACAAGGACTTTGTCAAGTATGGATTATGCCTGTAAGTTCAGCATTTAATTCTCCCACTGACATTTTAGGCCTACAAATACAGAGAAATAGTAATACCTTTCTTAGAAAATTTATTTCTATAAGCTTATTGATTTAAAAATACAAAGCCTAAAGATTCTGAATGATGTAAAGATAAAAAAGAACAGTTAATTCCCATTTCATAATGTTTTGCCAGTGAAGTACTCATTTATATTAGTACCTTAGAAGATAGATAAAATTGGAATGGTGAAGGGTTACCTTTGGAAAGGTGAAAGGTTACGTTTGGAATGGTGAAGGGTTACCGTTGGAATGGTGAAAGGTTACCTTCTCAATGTCCTGTTTTCTTAATTAGAATTTTAGAGTCAGATTGTCATTTGCATAGCGTTAGGTTTGAACCACACTCAAACTCTCAAGACATGACAACATAACAGCATTTCAATGTTAGCTTATATCTACTTACAATCCCTTGAATCTTACACCACTTCTAAAGAGTTCATCTGTGTTTCTATTAATATTGATCTAAGCTTATCTAATTTTGAAAACTCATTTGAATAGGAGCATGTTTTGAGTAAATGGAAGCTATTTGGTGAAGCCATCTTGGAGAATGAAGATATTTTAAAAGTTGCTTGGTTACACAATGGAATTCAGGTATGGTGGCAGGTTAATTAAGTCTTCTTTCTACTGAATTTCATGAGATTCAATGAAATGTAGAAGAAATATTAAAGATGTAACATACTCATCTTGTAAAGGGACAGAAAAGAGATTTTCCAGTTTCTGTATGTGTATTTTTAGTGACACTTCCAGAGAAAACTTGACCAGAACATGATATCACTATCACACACACGCCTTTCTTGAATATAAAGCAAAATTTAATATTTACGTCATAATCTGGTGAAGCATAAGCATTGAAGAAGGTCTGACAGGCAATCATCTGAGATACTGAAATATTAATTCAGCCAGAAAGCCTTTGGCATACCTCGAATTTATGACAATTCCAGTAATGCAGCTAATAAATGGATATTTCTCAACGTATCCTAGACAATGATTGACTTTTCATTCTGCACAGCGAGATTTTTTACAATTTTGATTCATGAGCTTTGACCTTTTAGGTGATTTTTAATCCTGATAAAAAAGATAATATTATGTATCATGAGAAGTTTGTCAGGAATAGAGTCACACCTACTGTTAGTAATTTTGGTGGGAAACCATTAGATGGTTGGATAGCTGTTTCAACTAGTGGCATGGTAAGTGACATTTTTCCACTTGTTACATGTGTACACAAACTCAAACGAAATGAAAAACGGTTCATAGCAAATCATATCCAAACATCCATTTAAGCCCAATGCTATTTTAGCGTTTTGAGACAGTTAAGAACAGATGGCAAGAAGCCAAAATGGGTAAATCAATTAATATCATTACTGTGGGTGACTAGCTCTTTGTTTCCTGACCCATTAACACCCGATTTATTTTTTACATTGAAGGATTTGTGGAATCATCGTACGGCCACATTGCAGCCTTAAGTTATTTTATCCTGGAGCTATGTAATACCATCTAGTATATATCAGTTTTAAACTCATTCTGATTTACATTAGACTTTCTCATCTTTGCAAAAAATTATTGAGGTCATTTTTTCATGCATATCTTTTGTGTTTTAAATAATGATTTGTTATGTTTGATCAATTTTGCAGGAACGACTTAAAAAATGATTGTTATTTTTCCCTTTACTGTATCTTCAGGTCAGTGTTGGATTACTTCAAGACCAAGATCCTCAAATTATTACTAGTAAAACTAGTCTATCTGCTGGTCATCTCAGATTAGCTGAGGTTGATATAGCCTTTTCAGCAACTGGAGAGGTAGTCTTTGTTGTCACAGATGGTACATTAGCATCTGCAGTTCAGTGTTTCTATGTAGAAGTCTCTCTTCAACATTTAACTTGTACTTTAACATCAAAACCAGGTCCTAGTCTCTTTATGAAATCTCAGCTGGAATGTGGAAGCAAGGACATTAGCTCTGTACAAATTACAGATTTATACTTCATGAATAAAGATAACCCTGATACTTTACTAGTGTGTTGTGGTAACCATAGTTACAGCTGTGTTGAAGTCTGGCAACTTGTGGAACAAATGATGCCTCTCAACAGATTTTTCCAAAGTGCAAAACCAGATTTTTCATACAAAACACCAAAATGGATGCATAAAGCAAGTGTAACCTCCAATTCAATGCTTACATGTATTGCTACTCCAACTTTGTTCATGGGAAGAAACTATATTGATGCTCCAGGATTTGTGTCGTATTTTGCCTGTACATATAAAGACGGTTCAGTGAAAATTGTCCACAGACACACAATACAGACAATCCATTCTTGTACATTGGAATCTCTTGGAATAAGTGAAGACAGTCGGCCAAAAACTCAATGTTATTTTACAACCATGGTGCAGACGCTCTCTGGGTGTGGATTGATAGGTTTACATGGTAATGATATGGTGTTGCTACGTGTCTTTAATATGCGTGAGGGACCAATACAACTATCGCCGCCTAGTGTTTTACTGTTATTAGAATATATGTTATGTTTTGGTTATGATTGGTGGGATGTCTTTTTGGCCATTAGACAAGGTAAAGTTCTTGCATTGTAATGCAATATATTATCCAAATAATAGTAATATTGATCTAAGTAAAATAAGATTTACAGCTTTGGGTCTGCCTCCATTTTGGAGTCTACATGGTTAATATTGTTTAATTCGTTCTTTTATTTGATCTTTCGATTGAATTTTATTTGAATTAAACTATTATTTAAAATTTTATTTTATGTAGGAATGGTTGAAGGTATCTGTCAAAGGCTCTCAGATGATTTTCAGAAGCAACCTGGTTCCATGCAAGAATTTCTACGCATGCGTTTGATAGCCTTACAGATGGCCCTATATAATTTTCTCAGTAATGGACAGCAGAAGGCAGCAGATTGTCGAGCATTGCTCATCTGTAATTCAATATCATCTGTTTTGAAAGGAATTTTGAGACCTAAAAGTGTATCTGCTTCAGACAAGGTAGATTGGGGTTTATTTCATAACTTGATATTTACCATTCTTTGTGGTAATTTGGTACTAAAAATTTGTGACATGAGTTTCTCTGAGACGAGTAGCCTTTATTTTTGACATTGGTAGTTTCTTTTAATTATAAGCATAAGCTTGAGATGTCATTTCTCTTTTGTCTTAGTGATGACTCATCATTTACCATTATAGGATATGATATTCTTTGTTTTTGAGTGATTCCTTTTCTTTATCTTTGATGATCTTTTTATATGAAGGACAGACATGCCATATTTGAGTAATAGGTTATTTTTTTAAGAACCAAGTGTTCACATGAATTCTATTGGTAAAGGCTTGCTTGTAGTGTGATTGAGAAATATTAGAATTCCTTCCGTCTTCCAATCAGTCTATAAGCTCCATTCAATTGAATTGTATTCACTATATGCTCATTGAATGGTTGCTTTTTCAGAGCCCAGCTGAAAAGTTGACTATGATGTGTAATAGTCAGAAAGAAGCTGATATTGACAGTGTTTTACGTAACTTAGATACTGAGGAATTCATTGTAGAAGCTTTAAAAAGGGGAGGTAATTCTGGAAGTAAGTGTTAATTCCTTACAATTTCAAACCCAAGTAATAGATTTAAATTGCCTTTTATATTGTATGTGTTTCAGTTTCACTTGCCTAATCAATCCACTTAAATTAAGCTTTCTTACTCTATGGCAGATTTGGTGCTGATGTTCCTTAATGCAATTTATTTCATTTTCAAGCTTTCTTAGTAATTTTTAAGGAAACACTGTTGTGATAAACAAGTTTGGTTTTAACTCATCTAAAACATTTTATGCTATAACACTTGACAACTTATAGCTGAAATAATAGGTTTTTTTTAACAGATATATTTAAGGTGTCATGTACTACTTTTTCCCTCTTCAGATACACTTCAGTTTCTTCAACCACTAATACAATGGGTAGCGGACTTCTGTCTACATTTATTATCATCAATACCATTATATCAAAGTTATGGTAGCTTTCCTGGTTCCACATTACTACGAGATACTGTGGTGCTCAATAATCTTCGTGAACTTCTGGTTATTATTAGAATCTGGGGTCTGATCAATCCAGGTTGTCTTCCTGTTTTCACAACAACCTCTCAACTAGATTGTTTATCAAATTTATTCAAACTTTTAACCAAAACATGGTTGTGTAGCAAGGATAGTAATCTTGAATATGATGAAAATTTAAATGATGAGTGTCTCTTACTCCCAAATCAAGTTCTTATTCCTGATATTAAACAGAGTTTTGGTGCCGAGAATTACAGTTATTCCATTTTCACTCAGCAACTTCCTTTATCACTAAAGACAAGAGATGAACCAGAGTTCTTATTTACACTACAGCAATCACGACTTCTCTATATTCCTGAGTCGACAGTTGAATCAAGACAAAGATATGATATTGTACGTCAGATTCATCTAGGATTAAAACCATCAGGTCCTGTCAGAGAGTGTTGTCGCTGTGGATCCTTTTCCTTGCTCAACACTCCTACTAATTCTGCCATTTTGAAATCATGGGAACAAAGATTTGTTAAAAATTGTATTTGTGGTGGTCATTGGAAATTATATGAAGAATAAATAGAGATTTTTTCCTTGGCATCAAGTAAATTCACATTTAGGCAGACAGGGGCAAAAGGAGGACAATGTATATTTGAATGGCTTGTTATATTTTTTGATAACTTTTGTACAATTGTGAATAAATCTAGATATGAAATATATTGTTGTTATTACTAGACATTTTGTCTTGGCACATGCTTTCATGAATAGATTGAGACCATCAATCCAATTCAATTACTGTGGTATATCGCAAGCAAGACAGGTAATGCACACCCATTAGCAAACTTTTTTTTATGAATTCTGCATCCTGTTTTGAATAATTGTCTTCAAAGCCACTCATAGCAGCAGTTTCTGTAAAGCTGAATCTGTCTCTCTGATGAAATTTGGTTGTCTTCTTGATGAGACCCTTTGCTTCCAGCATGTTAGATTTATTTGTCAAGTGATAGTAATATTGTAACCTGAATATAGTCCCAAGCTTTATAGTTTTCATTGAATGATTCACAATATTATGACTATTGTATTACCAATGATACATTTATTATCATATTGGATGGAATCTGACAAGGTTGTGTTTTCATTGGCTTTGTTTACAACTACTCATAAGTCTTAAAGCGTAACTTTCACGGTAGGCCGATTGTTGAATTGAAATGAGAAATATATCAAATCAACATAGATGAACTAGTTATATCTGGATTGAAAATTTAAAGAAATAATGGATTTAAGATACATATTCCATTTAATAGTTTTTTTTTTTTTTTTTACATAAGATAAAACAAATTTTATTTTTAAGAAAAAATAAAATATATATAACATAACAATAGCACTTAAAATAATAAAACAATACCCTGACAAAAATACTATTTAACATAACATATTACCTGTTCATTTTTACAAAAAAATCTTCAAAATGTCAATGTTTCTTAATTAATTAATTTATTAATTAATAATTCAAAATATTAATGTCTTTAATTCATATCACATGCTCAATAAAGCAAACCCATTTTCAAGAATTGCTTCTATCCTGACTAAAATTTACTAACAATTTCTATATGATTTGTCAAACGAGTTTCAGTGCAAGATAAAACCAAATGATTGGTTAAAGCAAATGTCATCAGGTTCTGTCCAAATATTATAGGGATGAATGTTCATGAAGGCCTTCGTTAGACCTTAACTGTAGTGGCTACATTAAAGCTTATAAAAAGCAAAAAGTGAGGATTGTTGAAATCTTCATTTGATTTATAAAATAATCTATACAAAATATATATACAATCATGAGCAATAAAAAAAATTGAGATCACAGAAGAAATTGCTGAATTTTTTTCATCTTGTCAAGGTTTATATTTCAGCTGCACCTTCAATAGCCCTTGTTTCTCCTCTGTAAATCTGTAGGTGAAAAAAGGCACAAATGAAATAAATATTTGCTAGTAAAGTTGACTTCATCAATGAGGATACCCAAATATAAATCTGTAAATGGCTTCAAAATGCTACTTCAGCATGCCTTATATCATTTAAGCTACACAAATAACAATGGAATTTCAACCCTTGACATATCTAAACGATGAAAGAACCTGAAGTCCTGCTTGCATCCAATATGGTTATTTATTTCCCAGAGACTGTGGTGCTACTTTCATATTATACATGGAAATGAATCATAATCAAGCTTACCTGATATTGTTTGATTTCAGATAACTGAGTATTGCAGGACGAATCTTAGCCACACCACCTCTGCTGTTTAGACCACGCCCTGTTATAACATAAAGATACTGTTGTCTTCTGTCAGGGCGTGCTGAAAATTCTGAAAATGGAATGAAAATAAAGAATTTGAAAGCGTTCTACTTACCAACAGCACAATTTATTTTCACATTCTTGGGATTTAATCCAGCAAATAGCATATTCCTGTGTATATTCTTGCTGGTCAAAACTATTTCATTCTTGTACACTCAATTGCAAATACAGACTTTTGGTCAGATATTAATTTCTCCTCTTTACTTCTGTTAGATGAGAATTTACTCACCCTTTTCTTTCTGTTGCATTATTCTATTTAAAACAAGAATAGCTTCTTCAACATGAAAACCATGAAGATCAAGAGTCATTTCTCTCTGAACTTGTAGCTGCCTGTTAAAAAAAGACATATTTTAAATTGATAAAAACTTAAGGTTTTATTCTAACCGTTTAAGGTGTTAATACACCAGTTCTGAAATGACACAGTATGAAACGCTGTGACACAACACAATACCACTTTCAATACACACTCATTGACTGTCAAAACAGTATAACAATAATATATTGTTGAAGTTTCTTCGAAATTGGAACACTAAATATATGTATTGTAAAAACAATTCTCTTACCTTGATTCTAATATTTTTTTAGATGCTCTCACATTTGCGTCTTTCAGCTTTTGAGAATGTAGATGACCCTTTTAAAAGATCAAAAGAATTTTCATGTTGTAAACTTGTGAATGTTGTTGCTATGGTTATATTAACCAGTGCAAGACTGATGACATTCAATGAGTCAAATTTCTGAACTATTCCAGACAACTTAATAGTATTTCTGATTTTGGCATGTAGACTTGGAAACTACAGAAAATAGATGGCGCAGAGTCCTTGTTTCACAAATCCAGTAAATCAATTATAGCTCCTCATTTATTAAAACTCCAAACCATGTTTAAGTAAATAAATAAAGAAAAGCATATACCTGTTGAGAATAAAAAGAAGACACCTCTCTCATACCACGTTGAAAGGCTTCCCTAGCCTTGATAAAACATTGTTGACGTAATCTATGATGTAAATCAGCTTCACCACGTACTTCCTGATAGTCTAGATCATACGATTCTATACCTTGATATTCTTTTCTTTTAGCTTTCTTTGATGAAGTAGAATCCAACTTAAAATAAAAATCAACAACATTATTCTTTGAGAGTAAGTACAACTATTAGTGTGACTGACTTGTCAGCTCAAATTATCTGACTAAATTAAATGACTAACCATTGAAAGTGTATAGAAAGTATTGGATATGATGGTCAGTTTTGCCAAATAAAATTATCTGACAAAATGTTTGATACATACCACATCTAGTAGGCTGTTTTGTTTAGCTTCATCTATTAATTTAGAATAATATTCTTCTTCTGCCTCTGGTGTCATAACAGTTTTAACAGGAATGTTGGGTCCCAGAGCTGATTTCAGAGCAGAATCAGTATCTTCATAGCTATAACTGTTAAAAGGAATTAATAACTGGTTTAAGCTTCCTCAAAAGAATTTTAGATGGAACAATCATGAGTATTTGAAAATGGTTTCATAAGCTTTGTGTGTAATGGACTATGCTATATCTCGACATCTATGAGTGGTGTCATGACAAGACACATTCACAGAGGAATACCATTAAAAACTTTCATAGAATCTAGGATTCAAAATTGTTGCTTTCCAGAAAATGTTTCAAAGATTTCCACACAAGTTTTATTACAAATGTACACCAGAGTTCATCAGTGAAAAGTTTTCAGACAGTTTCTTATCACCATTTTGCTAATCACAAGTTTTTGCTTACCCATTGGCTTGAAAAATTTCTTCAAAAAATGTCTCATCTAATCCTGGATATTTTTGCAATAATTTTTGACGCTTTAATTTGGTTGCTATGGCAATATGATCTCCAGTAGCTTCAATATACTTCATCTGAAAAATTTGAAATATTCAGCAAAATTTTACTGGTGATGCTATGTAAATTAATAGAAGTACTACATGAGTAAAGTACTATTCATGGGGAAAACATTTGCAATAGTGACATCATAATATTATGGTCCAGTTTTACTGGAAATATAGCAACCACAGAAAATTTGGATGGTACTAAAAACTTAAAATGTTTCTGATACACATACATCTGCTTATTACTAATGACATCTAATATAGGAATTTACTGACTAAGAGGCACTTCAATATTTTGTACCATAATGACCACCCTTGTAAATCATTTTGATTCTATCAATTTAAATCATACATAATATAAGCTCATACATAATTTACTTACATATTTCTCTTTAGAGTTCTTACGGGCCAGTTCTTCCTGAATAATATCTTCTAAATATACAGGTTTAGGTTGTATTTTAGGTCTTACTCTCACTCTAGGTTTATTTTCTTCTTCTTGCATTTTTCTTGCTAATGCTTCATCTAGAAAATAAGAAATATAAGTAATTTAGTAATGTTATCCTATAATGTTAATAAATCAACATAAGGTCGTGTATCAATACTTGATAATACCTCTCATTTCCGTAAAAAAAAATTTTTATAAGTAGGTTGAGAGGAATCACAACTTTTTTCACTGACTATTTATATGACAGTGGACGTTAACCACTTCTACCAAGTATCACAATTATATAGTTATTGAAACTTTGAAGATAATATGATCATTTTATTTCCATTACCCAATACATATCATATTTTGATCCCTTAATCATGATACATATTGTATCTTGGCATGATTAGCAATACCAAACACAATAATCTTCTATACTACTTACCATTTCTCAGTTGAGCATGTCTTTGTATGGTTTGATTTTTGGAAGTTAATCTTAAACAGCGATGAAGATGTTTAGCTGCCTTTAAATCTAAATATATTTCTTGATCATCTTGATTGTCTGAAATATAAAAATTACTGTCTTTATATATTTAATGCACAATGGTCATTATGAATGCCACTAGCTGGACCAAAAGAAGGTATTATTCTGTACTTCATGATAAGGTGAGCTGAATCTAGAACTGGATTCATAAAAGCTAATTCCTCATAGGAGTTCATATTACTGAAAAGAAGATTCTTGGTGTACTTATAACCAAGGTTGCCTATGCAAAGTATTTGGGTAATATATATCAATGTAACTGGAATCTGTACTAACCTGTTTCGGTAATCTGACCAAATAGTTGTTCTAACTGACTAACTAATGTTGATGGTAATTTAACTGAAAGTTCTGTTTCTATATCATCTATAGGTGAACTAATATCACGAGTTACTGATGCTGATTTAACTGGTGTTACTTCCTTCAGCTCTGTTAAAATTTCAGTACTCTCTGTACTTTCTAAAGTAATACTATTGTTCTTTAACTCTAAAATTCCATTTTCATTGCACTTATCCAAAGTTTTTAAGTCAGAAATGCTATTCTCAGCTGAGATAGTTTCCACAGTTTTAGATGACACTAAAGGCAAAGCAGGCACTGCGGATATTATTGCACTATCAATTCTGGTCATGGAAGAACTTGAAGAAGGAGCAATATTAGCTGAGGGAGCAGCTTTAGATGATGTTAATAAACGCAACAAATTTGATCCAGAATTTTGAGTTTCATTGTCATCACTAGAATCTGATGAATCGTAAGTCTCCAACATTTTCAAAGCCTTTGTTTCCCCAACAACGCCTTCCCGTCTTAAAATATCCTCATTGAGAATATAGCTCATTGAGTTCCTATATCCATGACTAGATTTTACACTCGAGCCACTTGTCTGATTTGCTACGCCTTCCACTCCAGTAACCATTGAATTATCTTCTAAAAGATTTTCATGTGATATGCTTTTCATTCTAGTTAATGCATGAGTTTCCATCTGCTCCAATTGTTTCATGCCATTTTTAATCAAAGTTTGTTGAATTTCTGGTAAATTTAGGTGACTTGATTGAATTTGTTCATTACAGATATCAAACAAGGATTTAGGTGAAAATGAATTGATAAAAACATTACTTTCTTCTTCAGAAATGATCAAGTCAGCAGACGTCACAGAATTTCCACGTTTTAGTTTTAGCACTTCAGATGCAATTTCTTCTTTTTCTCCAGAAGTAAGAGACACTGTAGAACCACAGTCTAATATCAAATTTATAGCCCACTCTACATCATTTTGACACATTTCCAAAATTTCTTGACAACGCTCTTCAGAATGTTCTGGAAAACTGGTTCGCAGAAAATCTAGATTTGGTTCTAGACTTGAAATTAAGTCATCAGTCATGCAACCCTTATCAAGACCAAAAGTGCGCAATATACAACTTTTTGTGTCTGGAATACTTTCATTTATCTTACTGCTCTTGGCAATCATAATTTTCACATAATTATTATAAGATGGATCAACTTTTCCCAAATTTACATGGTCCACAAATTTGAAATCCAATCCTTCAGTCAAAGTTGAAGAATCAGATACATTTGTTTCATTATCACATTTAGGAATTGAAATAACAGGTAAAGTTGCTTCTTTAAAATCTTCAACAGTAAAAGAATTCCATGATTCAGTTTTAATTTTCATTTTAAATTCTTTGTCCAGCAAAGGTTTTCCTGTTCGTTTCTTTCTACGATTCTTTCTCTGTGGCGAGTTTTGATTTGAATCTGAATTGTTTCCACTCTTTCCAGAACTTTCTACCTCTAAGTCTAAAAGTGGATTTTGGATTGCATCTTTCTCTTTTGTTTCTGTTTTTGGACTGCTTTCCCCTGCTGAGGTATTACAATTTTGACTCTGATTTAAGGAAGTGTTTGCATCAAAGAACTCCTCAGAATCACTTGCCTCAGATTTTTCTCGATTTCCATCTGAGATGACAACTGAAGAGGCATAACTTGCTTCTGAACAATTTGAGCTTTTGGAACTTGAATGACGAATTCTTTGTGGGTTTGGATTTTCAACACTGTTTTCAGTCAACCTCCCTTCAGTTTCATTAGTTTTTACTCCACAAATTCCATCTTTGTCATCAATTTTAAAATTTTGGTTTTCTGAGTTTGGATCCAGAATCTCGGAAGGCTTTCCAGAATCACTTGAATCAATCTGTTCAGTCTTTTGAACAGAGTTTTCTTGGCCGATTTCACTAGTTTTATCTGTCTCTTTCAATACTTGAGAAGATTGTTTTCCCTCTGGCTCAGTACATACTGGAGCTCCATTTCCTGCCAATTCAGAGGGTTGTTCCTTTTTAACCTCAGTAGAATTGTGACGATTACGCTTCTTAGTTCTCATTGGTTTGGGACTTGGCAATTTTTCATTGCTAACAGCTGTTTCAAGACATGATTTGGGAGCATCATTAGCTGTTTCTTCGTTTTCCACTTTCCCATCTTTCCATGTGTTATGTGCTTCCACAATGGCAGACATTTCTATTTTAACTCCTTCATTCCAAGGATCTTCACTAAACATTGGATACTCCTTACACTCTGTCTTTTCTGCAGGACTATTTTCTTCCCCTTTTTTCGTTTCAAAATAATTTTGAATCCCCTCTTCCATATTGATACCACTGTCTGTTGCTTCTACTTTTTTCACGTTTTTATTGATTAAGTCTGACAATTCTTCAGTTCTTAAGGTTGAATTATTTTGTGCGCTTTCTATCTTAATGTCTCCACACTTTTCTATCTTTGTGTTGTTATTTTGAGATGGAATAATTTTTAGTGTTGGCTGAACAGGTCTGGAAAATCAAATATAAAATGTGCATTAAACAAAATTTGAAAAAACAGCAATATATGCAGAACAGTTTAGTTTTTAAGTCTTTTACTTCCATCAATGCCAGACCTTGTTTTCTTATATTTGAAACTGCAAAGTGCAAATCTTTAAGGTACAAGCCTGTACATAGAAGTCAGAAATATTTTAAACTAATTCAATGTCTCTTAATAAATTCAAATATATTTTAAAGGGGCAGGTTTGCCATTTTCAGGGGTTGATTTTGGTCTTGAATAATGCAAATATGCTTCAGAAGTACTTGAAATGTACGAAAATTGCATAATTCCTTCAAAAATACTGCAAACTAGGAATTTCACTTTCTTTATCTATAAGTATTTTCTACACATGTTAGAAAATCTCAAGAAAAGTCGTCTTTTTAACTTCAAACGAGGATAATTCTCGTCACACATTAATTTGAAGGCTCAAATATTAACAGTGAGCTGTGAACACTTTACTAAAGTTATATTAAGAAGTTTATAACTTACTTGTCTGTATATAAGAGTTGTTCTATTGTAACATTGTAATCATATCTATCTTTCATCTTATTAATATTCTCTTTATTAACACCATGTGTGTTTCTCCTGTATAATAATAAAATATACTAGTATAACATCTTTCTAGTTAGAATATATAAATATTAATCAGAACCTGAAACATGTTAATTTCTAGTTTTACTGACAAACTCCAAATTAGTTATCTTGACAGAATTTTTATACTCAGCACAGTATAAGATGCACTTTTAAAAGAAATTATGAAAGCACTTGCAAAGAGCACAAGACTTTTTTTTAAAAAACAAATGAAGCCATAACATGTTATGAGCAATAAGAAAACAAACTAATAATCTAGTGATAAGGCAGGCAATCAAAAAAATTCTCTTAATGAATATGTTTTAATTACTAAATCAATCAACACTATGATTTTCTTGAAAACTTGTAAATACATATTAGGTAAGATACATACGCTTGAAGTTCTCTAGGTTTAAATTTCCAATGTGTATCTGGTTCCAAAATAACTATACAATAATTATTCTGTATTGCCTGTAAGCAGTTTTGTATTTATCAAAATCATCAAATATAGCCAGTCTGGTAAAGTTAAGTTTAAAATATTAAACATTTCTTGCAGTCATGATAATTTGTGAGTTATTTCTTGAGCTAAACATTTTTCTAATATAGTTGGACATATTTATGCGTCTATGAAGTTGATTCATTTACTAAAATAAGACTAAAACTGATTGCATTGCAAGCTGAAAGCCAGCATGATGATAGGTGGTGAAATTTACATTGCATAATCTTATTCTACTAAAATAGAGTTATTTCCCTTCCCTTCAAATCTTGTTGAATTTATTTTTACCATAAGCATAAATACGTCAATCAGGTTTAAAAACACACGCACAGGTGTACAAAATCAGCCATTGAATGAAGCTAATGCAACTCATGTAGATCAATTTTCATGAATACAGAGAGAATATTTTCAGCTGGAACCACTGTCTTCCAGACGTGACTTACAGATTTAGCATAGGGTTTCATTTCCCAGACTTTAGTATTGGTATTATCAATGATAACTGGATTTATTCTAGCTTCCATGGCATTGATAGCTAAAACATACAATAAAAATACATATCACAATTAAAATGTATATTACAAGAATATGATAAAACACATCCAGTGTTGGAGAAAAATTTAAAGCAACAACAAACATATCAAAATGCAGTTCTGTTTCATACTATGCCACTCTATTTCTGGGTCACTCAAAAAATCTAGCTCTAGATAACTAAATTTGAGCTCTATCAGTAATCTAGCTCTAGATAACTAAATTTGAGCTCTATCAGTAATAAACACATTTTTGCCATTTAAGAAGAGATACCCACCTCTCTGTTTGTTCCAAATATGAGCTGTAGAGAGTTCATTAGGATCATATTCGTACACTCCATCTTTAATAAAATAATCATCAGTAGACAGTACTATACCATTACCTACTATCTGTCTGAAAATTAACAGAAAAAGTAAATTGTGTGATAAAAATATAAGGACACATTCATTAAAGTGGTTCCACTCTTACAACAGTTAGTGTTTGTATATCATGTGATACACATACCATTATCAATGATGTCATTGCTGATCTGTACTATTGTAAGAGTAATGCTTACTCAGTTCTTTGGATTGTGTTTGAAAACAAATAATTTGAAAATTTATCCTTTTTCAAATATATATAATCGTACTTTCTTTAAAGTAATTCTGGTTATTAAGTTGTTCAGCATTGGGGACGTAACTTCATTAATATTTGTCGATATTACACAAAATAGATTACTCGTGGTTGTTTTTTTAACTTAATACTAACTATGCTAACTTCACCTTATCTTGTATTGAACATTTATCTCTTTATTTGTGACCTTGGCCAGTGCTTTTTTAGGAACTTCTTCACTCTTAACACAAAGATCAGACTTTACATACATGACAAAAACACAAATTGTAAACATACTTTGCTAAATATGATTTTCCACTTCCAGGCAACCCTCTTAATAACACTAGAGTTAATCTTCCCTCACGTTGATATTTATTGAAGAGCTCTTTTCCAGACTTCTGCTTCTGTTGATTTGGATGATAGTGATGTTTGTGTACAACTGGTGTGAATCCAGTATCATCTTTAGTTATAGAAGAACATGCTGGTGGTTGTCTTTGAAGACTAAAGTTAGGACTAATAGGTCTGAAAAGAGGAGATTGTGGCCTATTTGATCGAATCCACTTTGGTGAACCACTGTAAGGTTTGGGTGGTGATATCCGTGGACCTACAGGTGTCATGAATACAGGAGGTCCTGTAAATAAATCATTGCTCATTGCTTGCTGTGGCTGGAACACAGGAGCCTGAGGACACAACTTGGAAGAAGAAGGCTGGTCCTTTCCAGCAACTTCCATATTGAAATTTGGATGTAAACGCTGAGAACTTGGTTTTTCTTCATCTGGTTTAGAATTATCCTTGTCTATATCTTTTTGTGTTGTCATCTTTGTACTATCTTGAATTCTTGATGCAATACTCCTGGATTTGTTTCTTTTCTTAATCTTCTTTTGAATGCCTTCCTGGACTGGAGCAGAATCTTTTAAGAATGCATCCACTTTGGATATCAGACCAGTTATATTGTCAGTTTTAACCTCTCTGGCCTCCACTGATTTGTTTTCTGGTAATTTTGCCTCTAAAGTAGGTGATTTTCCTTCCGTGTCATTATCAACCTTAGAATCACATTTATCTGCAGTTGTCACCTGTGAAATTATACAGGTGTCATGTGACCTAGATCCAACATGACCTTTACCTTTCTGTTCTTTGGTACCAGGACAAGATAACCAATCTGTTTGAATGTTGTCCTTGCTTATTGAAGAAGTGGATTCATCAGACAGATCCCAGAATCCTCCATGCTGTTGAGCCAATCCAAAGTTTTCACCAAACATATCTAAATATGATTGTAATGAAAACTCTGATGACAGGTCATGGTGCCCCAATGCAGGGTTAGATAATCCTGACATAACACTATTATCTCCCTTTATTAAGCTGCCAGTGTTTGAGGTAGACACAGTGGGAGTATCCTGCAACACTAAATTGGTACCTTTACAATCAACATTTTGAGGATGATATTTCTTTAGACCATGAGGAGTTTTAAAACGTTTTGCTGCCTTAGTGTTACTCTTTTTAATTGTTGTGCTGATACTTGTTTCAATTACAGGCATTTTAGGACTGTTCTCTGATTGAACTGGGGTACTGTTTGACTTTTTAGAAGCATGCTTCACTGGGGCTTCTTTTGGTGTACTGGTATCTCTTATTTTTTCTGCTTCTGCTTGATGTGTGGCTTCAATATTATCATTTATCTTGATGCTTGAACTTGCAGTTAATTGAATTTCTTCCAGGATCTGTTTCTGTTCAGGAACATCTGGTGTAGATTCCAATAAACTAAAGGCAATCAAATCAAACTGTGAGAATGAATCTGATCTTGAGGGTTTCTCATCTTCCACCATTGAAGATAAAATCTGTACAGCTTCATCAACTGGAAAATAGAACATTAACATAATAGGTTAATCAAAGAGAGAAACAAGCATTTACAAGCTTAAAAAACATTTATAAATAAAAGTTACTTATGTGTATGTCAGATGGTAACATCTACATTAGCCATAGGAATGATATCCTGACTACGTCAACGGCATGGATGTGATTATATTGTAAAGGCATATTAAAGGATTAATACATGGATTAATCACTGTTTTGTAAAGTATATTTGGGGGGAGATTTGGCCAATGATTTTACTAATAGCCTATCCATTCCATATAATATGATAGGCCTAGATACTTTTAGGATTATTGATTTTAGAGTTGACACTGAGTGACTGACACATAAATTGGTGGACAGCTTATATTTTTTATGTAACTTTAAGGGCTGGTATTTTTAGAAAATGACAATTGATGCTTTCTTTACCTTTCCATGACTTTTCCAGCAAAACCATTTCTATTACATCTGGATCAATTCGACCCTCAAACATTGCCTTCACCGATTGCAATATTTGAGCCTGCTCTTTCTTCGACAAGCCTTTTTCTCCAACCGTCCCCATTGGACCTTTGACTTTCTTTTGAGGGCTCGAACTTCGGTTTCTTTGTTGTCCTGGCATTTCTGTTGACGACTAAAATCATTTCTCAAACCAATGGATTCTTCAAATGACCTTAATCGAAGTGACATTTACAATTTTACTATCAAAAGTTGTAAAATGTTGTATAACTTTGACGTGTTTGTTTACGATTGTTTCCTGCGCAAGTTTTTCGCGCATATAGATCAGTCATGGCGAGTTGTTACGACGATTTTGATTGGTCGCCACTGACTTATTATCCTCACTGTATTTTATTATTGAATAAACCTTCTCAATTAATCAATTTCTTGATGAACTAAGCTGTTGAATATACACTAACTATACTTATTAACAATCTACATAACTCTCAGATTTCCTCCGATTTTCTAAAAGATATAAATAATCGACAGACTTGTCATGGTTATTTTGTCCAATCAAAATCGCAGTTATCATTCACGGCCGATTCAGAAAAGTGCACTTTCGCGCCGTTTCCTGTGAGAAAGTTGCTTGAATTTGTTTGTTTTTATTTGACATCAAAGGTCAAATTCCAAAAGGCTAGAAAGAGAATTGATCTCTAAAAACTTCTTATCCGGAACATTTCAGAATTGCATTCTGAAAATCATCGGATTACTGGAAATCGATGGAATAGAAAAGACAGGTAAACGTCTTTAACACTGCAGATAAATCCATCATGGCCGCTGCAAAATTTTACTGTTGAGAGTTGAACAATAACAAAATACCATTTCTTTGTGGATTCCTTACATATGTTAGTGAATTGTATAATTATATGATTCTACTATCTTTTTCACGTTGTAAGGCATTTTTATTGCATAATAATTGCTCCAGAACCTTAAAATTGTATAACATGTTGATTTTGCTCATGTCATTTTCATTTTGAACAATAAACTAGGCGTAGACTACTGACTACATTAATGCGAATTGCAATATCAGCTACTAAGTTCTAAATAAATAGTACAGGTAGTGACAAGCTTACAATGGCAGTAGACCTGATTAGCTTGCTTTAGGCATATATCCAGTTTCTAGATCACCTGTTGGACCTCTTCAACCAAATTGGTTTAAGTCCTCACCACACTAAATTACAGATCTAGTCCTGGAGAGGACTTTAACATTGTAAACTTTGTTTTGATTTGTATAGATCTATTAAATGAATTGAATTATAGTCCCACTATATCTGGTACTAATCTGGCCTAGTACTATACCTGGAAGTCATTTTAATGATAAATAATAAACATTTTTACAGATGATTATTAAGAAAATAATACAAAATGTCTAAAGCAAAAGGTAAGGCACCACCTAAGGTTGTTTATCCAGCTGGATGTAAAGAAATCAATGAAGAACTTAGTAAAGATGAGTTAGTTAAGAGACTTAAGGTAAGATGTAAATTTAAACACTGTGTAACAAGATTTAAGAAAAGTCAGAGCTGATAATAATGAGACTTCAGAAATTATAACCAATCAGATCGAATCCTTTTGCCAAAGTCTCCTTGAAAAAGTTATTGGTCTTCATTATTCCAGTTGACTCAGCTGTAAATGGGTAAGCTTATAGGTTAGCCAGGAAAGATTGATGTCCATAAGTTAAGCCTGAAAGACCAAGTATTTTTCTTTCAAAATACTTATGTTTTGTTCATTCTCTAATTCTGATCTTAAAGATGGGTTCCCTTATTTTCATTTATGATTTATGATAGATTTATGAATAATGAAAATGCTAATACTTATACCAGTGGAAAGTAGAGGTGTTCTAATGACTTGGAAAATACCTGTTTGTCACCATGATTTATTCCTTATTAACTAAATTAGAAGAGCAAAATTCCAATGAGTGACTGATCAAGAAAGGTCCAAAAGTCCTTTGTTGTATATCCAGACTACATACAGGAATATTTATGATCGGTTAAAACTTTTATTAAGATAATGATATGATTAAGAATACAGGATAATTCATTAGATAACCAAATAATCAAATAGTTTGCCTAATTTGACACTAAAATTAAGGAAACCCATCTTTAAGGATAACAGTTGTAATTATTATTTACTAACTGTATAGCCTACTAAGATAGATAAAATACCTTTATATATCATATTCAGATAACTGCATACTATTGGATATTTCCTTTTGATTGTGTTAGTTTTCTTCATATTCAATCTTTCTCTTTCAGTTACTGGCAAGAGCTTTTCAAGATATGAGTCAGGATGACAACACACAGTATTCAGGATTGGCTTTAATGTTAGCCTCGGAATACTTCACAGATCATCAGAATAAAGATGTCCGTCTATTAGTAGCGTGTTGTATAGCCGATGTTTTCCGTGTCTTCGCTCCCGAGGCTCCGTTCAATGATAATGACCAGTTAAAGGATATATTTATGTTTTTGATTAAACAATTACGTGGTTTAGAAGATCCAGAATCTCCTTCATTTAAAAGATATTTTTATTTATTAGAGGTAAGTGTATTAATGTTTTATGGTTGGTGTCAGTTTTGTGATATATTGATCATATACATTCTTTTTGGAATAGTGTAGTAAAATCCTGATTTGATTCTTGAAGTCTTCAAATTTCCCCTCAATAACTATATAATGACCTCTCCTTGTTGACTATTTTCATAAAAATGTGATCAATCCTAGAAAATATCAGATCGATCTCAGGAGTAGTAAATTTTCATTTGTTTGTAATAAATAGACTCAACATACACAGTAAATAAGTATATTGGATTAAATCCAGTGGAATTTTTATCAAAAGAAGATAAGATTACTGCAAGCAGTTGTTTAGAATATATGCAAATGGTGAAAAAGGGTAACTCTTTGAGCACTCCAGTGATATTTTTATTCATTCAGGTATGCCTTTATTCCATCTGATTATATATCAGATATTTTTTAAATGTATGTTTTGTTTTTCAGAATTTAGCTTGGGTGAAATCATTTAATATTTGTATTGAATTAGAAGATAATCAGGATATATTCCGATCATTGTTCAAGCTCATGTTTTCTATTGTTAGGTAAGTCATCTTGCCATTTATTCCTTGTCAAAGTCTAATATCTGCTTTTCCAGGTACATCTTTCTTTCTATCCAATGAAAAAATATCTTTCATAATCATAATCGACAACCATTTCTACTTCTATTTTTGAAGTTTGTGACCTAATATATTGGAAAGACCAAGCGACTTATGGGTCGGATTTTGTTCGCATATTATACACAATGTAGAGTTGTGTCATACAAGCTATTTTGACCTTAAACTGCTGAATAGAATCAATTTCCACTCATGTACATCAGTGCTTTGAACTTGAAGTTTTTTAAGATCTGAGTTCGTGCATTAATAAAAAACTAGAAACCATTAATGTTGATAATGACCTGTATGTGTTTATATTTCAGTGAGAAACATTCAAGTAAAGTCAAGAATTTTATGTTAGATATGATGTGTCCATTAATATCAGAGTCTGATACAGTATCACCTGAATTATTAGATACTATATTAATTAATGTTGTGGAACCTCAAAAGGTAAAAATGTATATTTTGTTATTTGATGTCCAAAATGTTTATTTAAGAAGCCATTGACTAACTGCACTAATTCCATTTTAATACCTTTTGATTCAGTGGTTACCTTAACTAAATAGAATATTTTTAACATGGAAATGATATTCCTTCTCTCTTTTTTTTCAGTCTCAAAATAAATGTGCATATGATTTAGCAAGAGAATTATTAAAAAGAACAAGTAATGCTATAGAACCTTACATACAAGCAGTAAGTTAAAATCGTTTTATGTTCTGTTTATAATGACACTCATCTAGGCTCCAAAAAGTTCATGAAAATATGTGTCTTTCTGAAATATTGTATTTTTTCTTTAAGTTTCTGACCTTCAAATTGCAAGTTGTTAATAACCATTCAAATCTGAGTGCAATGACAGTACATAAAAACATGATCAATCATGTTATCTTCATATGTTAAAAACTTTAAGATAACATGTCATTGAATATCATTGCATAGAAGGAGTTAATATGTAATACTGTATAAATATATTTTTCCCCAATAATTTATTTTAAATCATGTATATATTTTTTTTTAGTTTTTCAACAACACACTGATGTTGGGTAAAACGTCCAAAAGTGATGTATCAAATCATTTATATGATTTAATTTACGAATTAAACCAAATATCACCTAATGTTTTATTAGCTGTTTTACCACAGTTAGAGTTCAAATTGAAGGTAAGTTTGAGTTGTATCTGATAAAAACAAAGCTCGAGATATCTCTTTTCACACAAATTTGTCAGATTCGTGTTGATTAGCATCAATCTGAAAGAAATAGTTCTCTCTATATCGCTTTTCATATATTTCTCAAAGAGTAGCTTTGCTTTTATTATGATTTGAAGACATTTGTAAGGAAGGCATGTTCACGAATTTAACCTATCAAATATTTGATTCAAAAGACCATTGCGTTATTGATTTATATTGCTTTGTAGAGTAATGAAGAACCAGAACGTAAAAATGTAACTAAGTTATTAGCTAAGATGTTTTCTGAACCTGAATCTAATCTAGCAGCTCAGAATAAACCCTTATGGATCTGTTTTCTTGGAAGGTAAGATTCCTTTTTTGTTCACTTTTAATACCTGATGCCACTGATGAGATGAGTTTCAATTCAGCTCTTATTGAGAGTCTACACGGTTGATTTATTTGATTACCTGTATTTTATTTCTTTTATGCATAGCATGAAGTTCACATTCAGAAATTGTTCTATGGGCTAATCAAGATATTTGGATTTTAAATGTAATGACATCAAAAAATAAGGATAGTCTTATACTTTATGCAAACGTTTCAGCAATGAACTATCATCTAGTAATGACAAATACGCTTTTATATTGTAGATTTAATGATATAAGTATTTCTGTACGAACTATTTGTGTCCAGTATGCTCAATATTTCTTTCTCTATCATGAAGAATTGACTAAAGAAATCTATGGTAAGATACTTCTTAACAGCTATCTTGGGAGGTTTTGTAACCTGTTAAGATGTTTCTTGATGTATGTCAATTGCGAGCATATCCTAGATTGTCCCAAAGATGCTTTGTATCCACATTTCCACAGATATTTATGCACGATTTATAACCACAAACAATCCACTTTATTAAGAGAAAGGAAAAGTAGTCATGAACAAGTTTGGTTTTAGTAACATTAATTACTGCTGATTTTACCTCTAATCAAAATGGATTGCTGTTGTTAATGTTTTTAATTGAAACAAAATGTGCATAAATTTCTCCTCGAAAATCCATGTTAGAATAGTTCCCAACAATGAAATAACCCATGAAAATGAATAAACAAAATATCTAATGCTGTATTTAAGGATGCAGATTAGAAAAAGCTATAAATCCATATCTATCATTTATTTTAGAACAATTAAAAGTACGTCAACATGATCAAGAAGAAACAGTTAGAGTAGAGGTTGTGAATTGTATATTAAATGTAGCTAAGAAGAACTTTGAGAAGATCAATATGGATTTATTAAGTTTTATCAAAGAAAGAACAAGGGATAAAAAGGTAGGTGTAAATATTTTTGTAGTATTTTACTCTATTCTTTTTGATGGCAATGAAGTCTGATTCTTATATAATATCTCTAGTAAGAGTAAGCATTGTGTACTATGTTTTGATAAAGTCATTTATGACAATGACATAGTGCTTTTCAAGCCTAATCAGGTCAAGTTTTTCTGGATTACAGAGCCACAGACATTGGAATAGTGCACAAGCAGCTGTAACTGCATTCATCTGAACTGAAGAAAATCTTTTTTTTGATACCATAAATATATTTATCATATCTCAATTCTTATATTTGCAGTTTAAAATTCGACGTGAGGCATTAATGGGATTAGGTCAGATGTTTAAACATATTATGAATCAAGAGCCACGTGAAGAACATAATGTAGAGAAAGTAGCATGGATTAGAGATAAAGTATTTCATGCTTATTATCAACAGTCTAATGATGATAGGTAAGTGAAAATCTTTTGGTGCACATTGATATTTGTTAACTTAAAGTCACAGACAGACATTTTGGAGATGCACTTCAGACATGACTGTATATGAACGTATATTTAACATGTATTTAGTACCGTACCAATTACCAGTAGGAGAGAGAATGAAGAGATTACTATTATTATATTTTAGGTTATTAGTAGAACGTATATTTAACATGTATTTAGTACCGTACCAATTACCAGTAGGAGAGAGAATGAAGAGATTACTATTATTATATTTTAGGTTATTAGTAGAACGTATATTTAACATGTGTTTAGTACCGTACCAATTACCAGTAGGAGAGAGAATGAAGAGATTACTATTATTATATTTTAGGTTATTAGTAGAACGTATATTTAACATGTATTTAGTACCATACCAATTACCAGTAGGAGAGAGAATGAAGAGATTACTATTATTATATTTTAGGTTATTAGTAGAACGTATATTTAACATGTATTTAGTACCGTACCAATTACCAGTAGGAGAGAGAATGAAGAGATTACTATTATTATATTTTAGGTTATTAGTAGAACGTATATTTAACATGTATTTAGTACCGTACCAATTACCAGTAGGAGAGAGAATGAAGAGATTACTATTATTATATTTTAGGTTATTAGTAGAACGTATATTTAACATGTATTTAGTACCGTACCAATTACCAGTAGGAGAGAGAATGAAGAGATTACTATTATTATATTTTAGGTTATTAGTAGAACGTATATTTAACATGTATTTAGTACCGTACCAATTACCAGTAGAAGAGAGAATGAAGAGATTACTATTATTATATTTTAGGTTATTAGTAGAACGTATATTTAACATGTATTTAGTACCGTACCAATTACCAGTAGGAGAGAGAATGAAGAGATTACTATTGTTATATTTTAGGTTATTAGTAGAACGTATATTTAACATGTATTTAGTACCGTACCAATTACCAGTATGAGAGAGAATGAAGAGATTACTATTATTATATTTTAGGTTATTAGTAGAACGTATATTTAACATGTATTTAGTACCGTACCAATTACCAGTAGGAGAGAGAATGAAGAGATTACTATTATTATATTTTAGGTTATTAGTAGAACGTATATTTAACATGTATTTAGTACCGTACCAATTACCAGTAGGAGAGAGAATGAAGAGATTACTATTGTTATATTGTCAACTAGATGAACATGCTGTCAAGTGAGTTATCAACCTTCAAGTTAGGCATTGTCGTCAGTTTTATATAGGTTTAAAGAAGAGATATTTGCAGATCAAATGGACTGACATGGACAATCACTTACAGAGCAATATCACTTGACAGTTTAAAATAGAAATTAAAAATCTTTATATTCTATTCTTTTTGATGGCAATAAAGTTTTTGTCAGCATTATTTTCCATGATAGTATGATAAGTATGACTATTTGTTTCTGCGAATATATTGACCATCCCACTCTTACATTCCTGATAATTTAAGTTATTCATCTGATATTTTTCAGAGCAATGAGAGAAATGTTTAAACATAGAAGCAAGTAAGTCAATTATTGATAAAATCTAGTTTGTATAGAAGGTCCTGTAGCTCAGTTTATTATGGTGTTTAGAATCTTGAAACAGAAGTGGACCATAGTCGCAATGATGTTCACCACAGATGTTCACCTCATTCTGTTGAAAATCTGAATTAAAACATGTATGAAATAAATGTAATGTAATGGGGTTGTTTGGTTTTATCTGATGTATTTCAGTGCCAGACTATGTACTATATCACTATTAGAAGCCTATGATTCCTTAGATCAACCTAATCCACCTCCATTATTACCTAGACTCACAGCTTTAGCTAGTAAGTTACAATTTCATACCTGTTATACAAATAATTTAATATTTTAGACACTAAGCATTACCATAATTGAAGATGTGAATGTTACCCTGCGCCAAAAAGCCAACTCTGTATTCAATCAAATATTACAAATTGTTTTGATGTAAAGTCTAGTTGAAAAGTTGTTTTATTGGATACAAATCATGGATGTTGTATTAAAAGGCTTTTTTATTTCAAATTTCTGATATCACAACAAACCCTCAATATCAACCGAAAAACAAATAAAATTCTTTCTCTGTTTTGTAGGATATTTACCAGAACTTCACAAACCTCATGAACAATTAAAGAAATTCAATCAGATATTATGTAATGATAAACGCATGAGAAGTCTATTAAAGATGATTATCTCCCCTGATTGTACGTGTAAAAAAGCAGAAGAAATTGTGGTAGGTTAACTTGAAGTATTTCTCTATAAGCATGTAGTGGGGCTTCAAGTTGACTGGCATTGTAAAGCATCTGATCAGACCTATCAACATCAGTAAAACACTGGACTGACTTCTAGCAACTACAATCATCTTGATGGTCAGTTTACACAGGTCAACGAGGTCCCAAAAAAAATGAGAGCTGCTCTATCTCAGAAAGTTTGCTTGTTGCTAACCTGGTTGATGTGGAAGTGATCATAGGTAGAAAGTAGAAACTCTCCCAGATAATGGTAGTTGTAAGGTTGAGGTGATTCTTGTTCCCCTCCTACATTTAATCTTATGATGTCTCAACCAGTTTAAGCTATTACGCAAATGTTTTTATATTTGATGGTATAAATGAAGCAAGATTTTATGGTATTTTCAGAAAGAAGTATTAAGAAAGCTAGGGTTTAACTCTGGTGGACCTAATCATCTATATAATATGGTGAAATCATTGTTAGAGAGAATAGCACCAGTTATGATAGATAGTGAAGCTATAGATATACTGGTCAAACATCTAGATGAAGTTATAACAGGACAAGCAACACTGGAGGAACCTGTTGATGATGTCGCTGAGAAAGGGGTTAGCTTATTATTGGTAAGTCAATCTACTTATGGGTACTAAGAACTTCAAGAGAAATGTTTCTATTGGTCAGTCTAGCTCTCAACACTTCTTGTGATTGCAAAAAAATGGACAATGGACATGTAGCTGCATAGTTAAGCATATACAGTTAAATAAAGCTAATAGAAATAGACTATCAAAATTATGCAAGTGTTGAAGGTTTGGAATAGAACTTCCATCCTAAAGTAGAATCCATTTTAGCACTTGCTGATAGATAAACAAATAAAATTCAGGAAAGGTAATACTAGGCATGTATGTTTTGATTTTTGGTCCTGTGTACTACAGGCTGTGCACATTGAAGATCCTTCGACAGTTGGAAATTGAAAAAGAGCAAGCCAATGCTGCTGTCCAGTCGAAAGTTTCCTCATTGCATAAAATGTAGGACATAAAACTCCATTCATTTAATTTTTTTTTTTTTTTTTTTCTGGTTGAGAATAAGTTGTTTTTCTATTTACAGGGTTTATCAAATGCCTTCCCTCATTATTTCCGAACAGCTGATGTTTTTGAGAAATTTTTAGGTTTCCTCAAACATGAAGATGATGTAGTTTGTAAGTAGATCTAATATTTTTAGTCTATATATTTTGTGTAATAATTCAGCCATCTCTTATTAACACACATATATTTGAACTGTGACTAATGAATCCAATCTAAGTTTTATTACATTGAGAGATACGTCCTTTATTGAGACCTTTAAACATCGATTTCAAATCTCAAAGGGGTCTTGTAGTCAGTTCTGGCATTGGTCTTATTTTTCATGTCAGTAAAACTGGAAAAAGATGAGATGGAAAAATCTTTCAGATAGATGAAAAACCGATGCCCTGTGTCTTGCAGGCTGTATGCATATCAGTTTTTAGACCAGTAACACAAATTTTTGATTTATTTTAGGTAGTACAACATTACAGATACTAAATTTTACTGGTGCTAGAATACAGACAATGCATCCCAATATTTATACGTAAGTTTTTAGGTTATAAGTTATCCTTCAAAATAATGATTTTTGTGTAAACTGGCTTTCAAAAGTACCTAAAAACATAGGCAGAGTAGAAAAGCTAAATATTATGTGCAGAAAAAGTCTTAACATAGTGCTGTCTTTACCCTGTCATAGTTGCAACTTTTGACATAGATTTTTGACAAGACTCTTTGTATTTCCAGTGATATGGTACCAGTATTAGTAAGTACTGCTAAAATGGGAAATCCTAAACAAACTAAGCATGCTATTAGATGTATTAGTACTATTTGTGCTCTACAGAGATCTACAGTGCTAGCTCAAGTCTTTGAGGTGAGTACTTGCGTTTAAAGTGGTCATTTTTTTTTACATCTGACTGATGCTATCAGTGTACCTTATACACATAAAAAATTTAGAAAACTTCTTTACAATCCTGCTACCTGAAAGTATGTCATGTATTGTAATCATAAGGACATGGCCAAATATTTCACAAATTGTCAAAATAAATTGTGTCGTTAAATTGTGTTGTTAAATTCTCATGACGTGGCTCTGTTTTGCAGAATGTAAAGAAGAATCTACATCCTGAATCTGCTAACTATATAACCTCTATTGTGGCTCTCGGTCACATAGCACAACTATGTCCTGAAGAATTTAGTGGAGAAATGAAGAATATAGTCTCTAAAATTATTGTTAAAGATTTGATGATGCAGGACAGGGTAAGAATTGCCATTTTGTCAAAAAATACTTCGTTTTGTCATGATGTCCTTCGCTGATCGAAAAAGAACTTTTCTCACTATAGACAACAGAGATGAACAGGAACATATTTTCATTCCCATGAAAGTGAACCAGAGTATGCAAATAAGTAAGATGTAAAACTCTATCGTATTTTCTATTGATAATAGACTAGTGGACCAGAAACAGATGAAAGTTGGTATAATGATCATTTAGTAACAGAAGAAACTCAAGCTAAGGTAAGTGGTAGTTTAGTTCAGTATAAGGCTCATTCTCTATTTGAACCCTGTGAACAGAATTTAAATTGACAATTTTCTCATTCTCTATTTCTGATGCCTAATAAGTGTAGCAAAACTATTGTTTTCAATGGAAAATGTTAAAACTTTTCAGATTCAAGCATTAAAATTATTAGTACGTTGGTTAAAAGGATTGAAAAATAACTCATCTAATTCTGGAACGTCATCTACATTACGATTACTATATACTGTTATTATACATGATGGTGATCTCATGGAAAATAGTCATATCAAGTAAGTTGTAGTTTATTATTATAATAGATATACCAATTAAATATATCAGGTATGTAGACTCTATGAAAGGGTTGCAGTGTTGACAAACTGTTGTTTAGTGGCATCAGGCGTGAACATGATCTTCCTAGCAACAATCAGAGTATTTATTTTAGTAAGGTGTAGACTTATTAACTGTGTTTTGAAAGCTTGATTTTCAGTAGTCTGAGGGCTCAATAAGTTGATTTCCTCAGATAAATTCAAGTTGAGATTAGGGTTGAAGTAAACAGACTGTTATAGTTCTTTTATTTCTTTTACAGTAAACCAGAACTGGCCCGTTTACGTCTACAAGCTGGTTGTTGTATGTTAAAACTAGCAGAAGAACCGTGTTATGCTGAAATGGTCACCTCAGAACAATTCTTAGCTCTTGCCTTATTAATCATTGTAAGTAATAACATTATCTTGCTGATTTGCTTGCCTCTTTTTCTTCTTAATGTCAAGCATTTAAAATTTTAATGCTCAAATCCTAATCTCAGCTTTGGTCAAGTCATTTGCCTCCAATATCCTACTCCTTATCAGTGATGCCTGTTGGAATAATGAACAGTAAAACAAGTGTTGATGTTGAAATAAGTGTTATTTGAATATAGAACTTATCTTGATAGAACCTTTACATAATTGATTTTTTTTATTAAAAATTTGTTTGAATTTTATTTTGTAAATATTTTTATACGCCCACATCTCTCTATGTGGATGAATATTGTCGACACCCCCGTCCGTCGGTCCATCAACATTTGCTTGTAAAGGCTCTAAAAACTAGAGTTTTTGATGGAATCAAATGAAATTTGGTATGTGTATACATATTCATAAAACGAAGATCAAGTTCGAATTTGAGCTATTTTAGACTGTTAGC